GGCGAGGCCGGGCCTGGGTGGCTGCGGTGCTGTGAGGGTTACCCGGGTTGGTGTGCGGGTGTCGTGTCTCCCCCCCCCTCCTTCCCCCATCCCTCCCTTTTTTTCTCCCCCTGTTTTTTCTCTGTATTTTTTCCCTCGGGGCGGCCCGGCTGCCTGCGTCCCGGCGGGATGCGCTTCTGTGTCAAAGTCACGGGAACGGGAAAGTGTCCTGGAGCAGTTCAGGCTTCCATTTTGAAATCCTACCAATAATGGGATCCTCTTTCGTCCTTCTCCATCCCTCGCTGCCCTGCCGTGCCCTGCCCGGGGTGTGCGGGCCGGGGGTGCCGTTGTTTGCATAAACAACTGCCGGGACCGGCCGCTCTGGGGCTCGGGCGTGCAGGAATTGCACAGAAATGCCGGCAGACCTGGCGGGATTCGAGTTACATCTTATCAGACCGGCACTTCCTGGGCGAAGTGGATGCGATTAAAAATCATTTGTAGATTGTTTCTCCCCTTAGTTCTTAGTTTTTGCAGTGTCTAGCGTGGGGATTGCAATTGTCCTTCATAAAATGTTTCGTGGAGTGGAATATTTCACTATCAGGCTGTGCTTTTTAACTTTGCATGCAGGATTAATTGTCCTTTATTAATTTTGCCTTATTGCTCTTACTTATAAACTTAAAAGTCCCTGAAACCAGTGTTTTCAATCTCCTTTTAGTTGCACTATGGAGTATCAAATAATTTCCCAGGAACAGCATTGGCTGTAAACAAAAGTTGAATGTTTACAACTCTTAGCATAAACCTATCCTTTGGTCTTACTTTAGCCTTCTCTGGGCTTATTTTGATTCATGTTTTCCCCCCAGATGGATGAATTAATGGAAAAGCATTTCTCTTGTCCTTACACTTATATTTTTACTAGTGAAGTTAGGTTTTGAGGGTTTTTTGGGGTTGTAGAAAGCATATTCTCTTTGGAGAATTCTTCAGATTCTTCTTCTCTTCACAGTTGAAGGAATATCAGCAGAAGAACAGCCCTGGAGCAACTGCAGGAACTAAGAAAAAACGCAAAACTAAGGAAGGCAGCAGACCTGCGACTCCCACCACTGATGACCAGCAGCCTCCAGAGAATGTGAGTGTCTCAAATCATTTGCCACCTCCCTCTTCTTTGGTTTTCTGGACAATCTGACCGGAGCTGGAAGTGGTTGTGCTGGGGTAAGAGCTGAGTGATGTAGGTGCTGTATGAAGTGTGCTACAGTAGTTGGCAGCTGCCTGTTCTGGAAGGTGCAGCTGGCGTCAGAGTCTGTCTGATGGTGCCCTGGGTGTGCCCAGAGCTGCTGGGCTGAGGGCATGTGGATCTCACGAGCTGGACGAGGCTGGTTCCTTGGCTGCCTTGGATTGACATTTTCTCTCTGTCCTTCTCTGAGCCGTTTCTCTTTCCCGTTTTCTTTCGCCTCCTGTAGATTCAGAACATTCTGAAGGTGCTGGTGTCAGACCTTAACCGCTCCAATGGGGTAGCCATACCCTCATTGGACAAGAGGAAGGTGAGGCAGTGCTTGTGTCCCTCGCAGCGACTCGCTCTCCCTCCTGCATGCTTCGGGTTCTCTTCACACTGAGCTCCATCTCCGGGATGGAGCTTTGTCCTCACACATCCATTGTCAGTTGCTTCAGTTTTGTTGCTGTTTTCATTAACGTGGAGCCCTTTGTTACCATTGCTTGTTAAGTGCTTGTTTTCCTTCTGGTTTGTGTCAAAGTTAACATGTCAAAAAGTGAGCCTTGTTAAAAAGTGTTTCTTGAGACAGTTGAGCTTGGAGGAAAACAGGAATTTGGGGTGAGGCAGTAAACTCATTTAACAGCTGAGGAAAACTGCACTAGGTAGAGGTAGTGTTTCTTTATAATGTATTTCTCCTGCTCTGAGTGTCATGGCTTTGTTTCCTGGAGCTTGGTTTCTGAAGGGCATGTTTCTGCTCATCTCCAGGCAAACAGCTGCACTGGCTGGTTATTCCAGCCACTCCTTTTATGACAGGAGATGAAGCTGGCACAGGTGATGTACAGTCTGGCAAGGACCAGGGGTGTAAATATGCTTAGGCAGGAAGTCAGAGACTTCAAAGCCAGGCATGTACAGGCTTTAGCGTCTTCACATTCCCAAGATCCTGAAGAGGAAAGGGTAGGAAGTATGCCAAGAAGCAAGAGAAAAGTGTTCAGGAGCATACATGAGCAAACAGCCTTTTAAAAATATTTATTTTCAGACAGTCAGTTTATTTAAAATAAGGCCCAAACTGTGATAGGAACTCAGAGAAGTTAAATTTTGTAGCCCAGAATGTTCTTCCAGTTTTGTTGTACCAAAGCTCTGCTTTTCATTTCACTTGCATCATTTTGGTAGCTTATTTCCCTACCATTGTTTCAATGGAGTTGTCATAAAGTAGCTCATTGTTATATTTACTGCATGTCTATGGGTCTCCAGCAATAAATATAACTACAGTAATCACATGGGGTACCTGACAGATGAAGTGAAACCTGCAAGGTAGAATGTTGTGAATTACCTTTGTATCCTTTTTTCCTTTTTTTTTCTTTTGTGTAATAATACGTCTGATGCACAAAGTTCCACCAGCTGGACTGTGTTGTGTAGATTCTGTACCAGTAGAACTCAAGTGATGTGAAGAGACACTGCCAGCTTTGGGGTGCTGGGTATGCCTCAAAAAAGTTGTGTTGTGACTGAAACATCACTGCTGTTCTGGGGACAGTTTTCAGTTAATACTTGTAAGCTCAGAATAACTTAAATTTTGGAGAAAGAGACTTGTTTCCCATTGGAGGGTGAGATGAAGGTAGGTGGTCCAGTGCTGTTGCTGAGGTGACACTTAGCCTTGCAGTGAAGGCCTGCCTATGTCTACAGCTTTAGTCATGTTTTGCAAAGGGAGAATTTATTGCTCTATTCATTCTTGTTTTCTTTTTTTTTTTTTTTTCCTCTTTTCCTCAGAGATAGTTTGATCTGATTGGCTATTAAGGAATTTTTTGATTGTTCTGCCTGGGGTTTTAGGAATTATTTGAAAACAAATCTTTAACTACAATATGCAATGAAAGAACAATTTCTCATTCCAGTTGCTGTCTTGTAAAAATCCTGAGTCAGGAAAATGCTGTTTAGAAATTTGATGCTAATAGGGCAGAAAAGCTGATCATTGGCAGCTGAGCTGCTGCTGCCATTGGTGTCTCATGTGAGGCAGAGCCCTCCCTTCTCTCTCACTTCAGCTTTCTTGGCTCTGAAACAGAGGAAAAACAGCAAAGTAGAAGCCTTTGTGTGAAAGCAAATGGATCCTACTACATGCTAAGCTGAACAGAATTACTGACTTCTTATTCTACATTATTGGAATGTCACAATGCATAATTTCTGTAGAAGTGTTTTGCTTCTAATGCCTTCTGTTTTCAACAAATTCGATTGTTCAAATAGTTTTGGAGTTTTTGACAGTTTATTGCAAAACTGCTCCTTTTGAAGAAAGAAGGAAGGAGTTCTTGAAGTTAAGGAACATTACTGGTTTCTGCATCTTGGAAGTATTAGCAGAAAAAATGTTCTGATCAGAAGAAATGATCATTTTGAGATGCACCGGGGAATTAATTCCTCCTGTACCTCTGATGTTTATATTGATGAATGTGTGATTGATAAAGGTGAAGAAATCTTTAGATGGAAGAAGTGAGGGAGTTTCTGACCTTCCTAATAAGCACCTAACATATATTGCTCCTTCAGAGCATCAGTACCTGTCCTGCTAAAAAGAAATTCAGAAAATTCTTGTTTTCCCTTTGTAGTCTTCCAACTTACTCACTTCATTAAATCTGTCTCCCCTGTTGCTGTTTTAACCTTGCTGCTGGATTAGAGAGTGAAGTGCTGAGCAGGTAAACAGGGAATGCCGAGAGAGAGAGAGATTTCTTGGTTCCTATGAAGTGCTAAGAAGGAACTAACTGAAGTAAAAGGGAGCTTTTCCAGGTGGAATTGCAGAGAGCTGCAGTATATTGGTGGGGCTGAATGCTGAAAGATTATCTCATTTGTTTTGTTGTGTTTTTAAGTGATGACTTACCAGAGCTGGATGATGAAATCAATCAAATTGCTATAAAACACAAGAGCAGTGCTGGACCTTTATGGCTCTAGTGCTGGGCAAGGAGATGAAATGGTCCAGTGCAGTGTGGCTTCGTAGAGGGGGCTGCAGATGCCATCCATCCTCCCACAGAGGCTGGATGGGAACTTGCTGTCCAGAAATAGTTTTTTGGCGCTTCTCTTTTCTATTTAGATCCTTCTAGTCATGGGATCCATGGCTACAGCAGGGCCACATGCACCTGCTCCCAGCCACCCTCCCTCTGGCCTGTTCATAAATGTCCTGTTTCCAAACTGGTGGGTCATGGCATGCCACAAATTTCACTGAGTTTTAGACAGAGCACTTGAGTCTGACTAACCCAATTTTCAAGTAGTTACTCCCCTGTTCTTTTCCATCTTCATTTGCATACCATGATCTGTGTTTTCCCCAGGAACACCTTGAAGGTGGTACTTTTCAAAGTAGAGCGATATTTGGCTTTGCCCTTACTTGATTTTTGGTGAATCTTTTGCAGTGAATCCTCATGTGTGAATTTAGAGTTTGGGTGACGTTATTGCCCTGTGTTAAAACAAGGGAGTTGGATTGTGGGACACTGGTTCTTTATGAAAGGACACACTCTGGGACAGCGTTTGTCTGTGGCTGATGCAGCCACCTCTTTGCTCTGGGGAGAACACAGGTTCCCTTCCACATGTTTCTTAATGACTGTTCACATCTGTCTGGTGTTCACAGGCAGGCCACAAGGTGATGTGTTGGTGTGTGTGTTTGTTCATTTTGCATGAAGGCTGTAATCCTGTGCTGTGTTTTGTGACAGGCATACTTTGACAGTGATGTTGCCACTCGTAGTGCTGAACAGCTTGCTCCTGATGTCCCTGTGCTATCTAACAGCAACAGCCTCCCTAGTTGTGGTTCTGTTCTGCCTGCTCCTGAGAGCATGCAGCTGACACAGGTTTGTGACTTATCATCAATACTGCCATTGAACAACTGAATATTGGTTAGTGATGCCACATTAGTGTGGAGAATTCATTACCAGAAAGTACCCTTAATAAGACAGGTCTCCAGTCCAATCAGTCTGTATTTCCTTTTACTAATTGAATATTCAGTTGTAGTTTTTTTCCAGTGAAGTGTTGATTATCCTGGTAAAAAGGAACAGCAGACATAAAGCCTGATACACCTGAATTTCTCTATTCCAGGAAACCCAGACTTACACCACTCAGAAATTATGTGTAAGCCAGGGCTGAGTTGGTGGTTTTAAGTTCATCTTCCTTTGGGAAACAGTAATTACAGGAGCTGTGGAACTTGAGCTCAGGTGTAATCAAGTCTTAGTGACACATTCATAAGTGTGACTCCCATCTTTTACAGGCTTGTAAGTTTTTTATGTTTTAATCCACAGATGAATGAAACTGAAGATCATAAAAATGCTTTGGATGAGAACAGGTGAGTGTCTCTGTTGGCTTTGCAACAGGATCCCAACAATTAAGGTTTTATTCCTGTCCCAATGCTGTGCTGATTTGGGCAGCACTCTGGAAGAGGTTTTCATTGCCAGGTCTTTGTTCCCAGGTCTTTCTCGTCAACAGAGGGTCTCCGTCAGTTGTCTGAACAACTCAATGGCCTGGTTTCCCAGGTATGCCTTTTCATCCATTTGTCCCATTAATTCTCTAGGTGTTTGATGTGGAACTTTAGGCAGACAGTTCAAGGAAACACTCTTCAATCTCAGAGACGTCCGCAGGCATCCTACTAACCAATGTGATAATTAAACATTGAGGCGCAAAAAATCCTGGTTTAGGAATGTAAGATTTCAGCAGTAGGAAGAAAAAGCAGAGTGGGATGAATGAATTGTACATATTCATAGAAAGATGTACTCTTGATTTACTGGAAAAGAATATGAAGTCAGTCTGAATAATTCACATCAGCCTGTCACAGGGGCAGCCAGCGTCTATCCTGAGCCAGAAAAGTGTTTTCTGTGCCTGTGTGTGGTCGTTTGAAGTGACAGGTGCTATAAGGAGTGTTACTGTTATAATGGGATCTTACCTAATAGTGATTTGCCTTGGTGACTAAAACTGACTTACTTGATTTACTTCTAGTCTACATCATATGTGAATGGAGAAAGTGCTGTTTCTTCCACAAATATTAAGGAAATGGAAGTAAGTTTTTCTCAGTCTGTCATGTTTTTTATTTTTCTTATTTGCTGCCATTGATCACTTGTTTGGATTCTGTGCTTACACAAGTGTTAGGGAGGCCTAACTGAATGCACAGGTCACATACATCACTGTGTAGTGTCACCTGGGGCTGTAATTGGGTAGCTGTGAGCACAGCAGTCAGAGGCAGTTATTGGAGATGTTCCCAGTTTGGGGACTGGGGATAATCTGGCTTCCATGCAACTGCAGTTCTTATTTCTGACTCACTTTTATGTCAAAATGAGGCCTCAGCAGAAACGGATAAAATAGGTTGACATCCCAGCAGCTTTTGTTCAAACCCCAGATTTTGTTTTGTTTGGAGAATCTGATTATATCAAATAATGATAATGATTTATTTTTCTGTCCTTTTTAATTATTGCTTTTTTTCCTTCCCTCCTCCTCTTCTGCTCCTTCCTTTTTCTCCTATATGCATGTGCCCGTCAGACACGTTACCAGGAGCTGGCAGTAGCCCTGGATTCCAGCAATCTAACTAACAAACAGCTCGTTACAAAGATAGAGGAATTGGTAAGAAACAATCCAACCAACCAGTTTGACATTGTCTTTGCTGCTCCTCCACGCTCTCTGGGTGTCTGCAAGGTTACGGGTTCCCCCACAGTGCTACAAGGCAGGCTGCTTACACAGCACTTTGTATGGAACAAAATGGGCTGGATGGAAAACCTGTGAGAGGATCAAAGCCTAAGGCTTCTTGTGAGTGTGATGGCTCATCTGAGGAAGCAGAAACAGAGTTTTGTTGTTTCCATTTAAGTGTGCTCTGTTGATCTCCTCACACTGTCCCTAGATGATAAGTATCCTCATAAAACAGCTATTTCTGGTCCTGCTCTGAATCTTTGAAATACAGAATTCTGGTGCTGGCAGCAGTGTGAAAACCTGTTACTGCAGGTGGTGATGCTGTTCTAAATATATCAGCAGAGTGGGAGCAATAGGTCCAAGAGAGCCTGGGGCTGTTTTCTGATCATATCCTTAGCTTCTCTTGGCACAATGAATGAACTGCTTTGTCCTGTGGCCTGCATGGATTCCTGCTGCTGCTTTTCAGCCTTCAGCCTTAACACTGCAAAAAATGCAGCTAAGTGGATCTGTTCCAGGCTGAAAAGAGTCTTTCTTGTGTGAATACTTTCCCCCATTTTGTTCCTCTCTAAAACTACACTTTTCCCAAAGTTTAGCATTTCCCAGTCTACCCCATCACCCCTCTTTTTGTTTCATTTTTGGTTTTGGATTATTTTTCTTCTGTTCTTTTTGTGTTCTAGTTGGGCTGCAGAGGTAGAGTATATTGCCCACCCAGGATTCTCATTGCTTGCCAGCTTTTCTATTTGTCTGGAGCTCTGTATGGCCTTTGCTGCATTTGTGCTCTTGCCTTTGCTTTTCCTGGTTATGTTGTGTGCTGGCATTGCTAAAATCAAAACCTCATCACCTTTCCCTCTGCAGTCATGTTTCAAAATGCACTGAGGTAGTAGTGGTAATAAAGAAACACCTTGGCCAATATTCATCATTTGGGAATAGGAAAAAATACTAATTATGTAGTTACTTAAGAGGCATCTGTGAGAAAACTGCCAGGGAGACAACAGCAGCAAAGGGCAAACAGGGTTTGGTGGCAGCCTGGGCAGCCTTTGTCCCCTTCACACCTACAGCTGCACTTTGTGCAGTCACAGATCTCCAGTACTTCACCCATAAGACTGAAATTGTCTGGGACAGAATTATTTCCTTGCATCTGGCTTCAGCTGCGTCTCATTCCACCTTGGTGGGAGCCTGCCAATGTACGTGCGGCACTGCATGACTTGGCCAGTTGTTAACTGGGATAGAGGTCTAAGGAATCACTTCAAGGAAAGGACTTTTGCTTTGGGATTTAGGTATTTATCTTTTATTGAAAACATTTTTGCTGATTTTCGTAACACACCAGTTTGACTATGATTAAGTGCAGAGATGTGGGAAATTGCAAGTTTAAACTGAAGTTGCTGGATGCTCAGATAGGAACAATACAGGGGTTTCAGCAGAGGTATTGGAGGAGACCTGTAATAATGAACTGGACAATGAAAAACATATCACATGTATTAGTGAAGGGAGCCCCAAATCTCTTACTTTTAATAGCTAAGATGAACTTCCTAGTCTTCTACAGAAATGGAAATTCTCCTTGCATTAACTGGGCATATATTCTACTTCATTGAAGTGAAAATGTGTTTCAGAAGTATAAGAATATTTTCTCTTAATATTAGCACATCAATTTTCTTCCACAGAAACAGCAGAACCAAGAAGCAGTCAATCAGCTGGAGAAGGTAAAGTGTGTCCTATTTTTGGATAGATACAGAAATAGGTATCTGTTTCTCTGAGTACTAGAAAACACAATGGATTGTGGCACAAGTGTGCATGATCTTGTCTTGTGTTAGATTCAGGTTTTTTTGTAGCATAAGATTTAATATATTGACTTCACAAGTTGGGCCTGATAAGCAGCAGTCTTATTTTGACCAAAGCTAATATTTATATGCTCAAGTTGCAGGAGTGCAGTGGGGGCAGGGGGTTACAGTTTAGGTCCTTGCCATTCCAACACTGCCACATGCATGCTGCAATGATTGTACTGTGCTGTTGCTGCTGGTCTGGGATGGAAAAATGATTAGTAGTACAAATAATGGAAGATTAAGTGTATCTTTAAAAATACTGGCAACATTTAAATGCTAAAATAGTACAAATTAATTCCTGCTTTTATAGTTTGATGTAAAAGAAGGGTTAATTATCTGCATATTTTTGCTGACCCAGCATTATTTGTTTCTACAGGAAAAGAAGGAGTTTGAACAGAAATTTTCTAAAGAGCAAGCAGCACTGAGGGAACAGTTACAGGTAAGGCAGAGCCTCCCTTACAGTAATATACCTGACTTCTGCTGTTTTGTGGATTATTGAGCACACATAGTCCTTATCCTGTAAGGCAGAAGTCCATTCCTTCAGCAAAACTGCAAGTGTCAGCCAGACTGTAATTAACTGCAAGAACACTTTACTGAATTGTCCTTTTGTGATAACAGTGATGTTGCAGTGTCAAGTAAAGTTTTGTGCTGAGCTGATTTTCCTTTCCCTAAGGTTCATATCCAGACTATTGGAATTCTTGTTTCTGAGAAGTCTGAGTTGCAGACAGCCCTTGGCCATACTCAGCAAGCTGCACGGCAGAAATCAGGTATGTGACTATCTCTGCAGCTCAAGCTGGTGGTTGAACTGTGGATGGCAAATCACAAGCACAGCAGTTGCTGGCAGCCAGCTCACAGCACTCCCTGACCCCTCCATGAGCAGCCTTTGGCACTGCTGCTGTGATTGTAGCTGTCCCCAAGTGGGAGCATGTTGGTCTCATGGCAGTTGAGGTTCTTCGGTGCATCACTAAAGCCTTGTCAGCTCTGTTGGGCCTGGTGACTACCCCAGATCATTCCTTTCTAATTCTTTTAAAACTTGATTTCCCTTTCCTGCCCTGCCTCCCACACAGCTGTCATGTTAATCTAGGTTTTAGCCAGGCCTTTTATTCTGAACTACACTTGAGCAATTTATTCTGATAGGAAAAAGAAAACCCCAAACAACATAATGTGTATTGTTCTGTAAAGGAAGTTTCATCATCTCCCTCTAAAAGTGATGCTGGTAGTTAGAGAGAGCTGTGCTCCCAGGGCTGTTAGTGAATCACCTGTAAAGCCAGGAGTGGAGCCAGCTCTGCTGATTTACAAAGTTCTGTGCTGCCTCAAGAGCTTGTTGACAAAGTAGAAAGTGCTGTTCAGCCAGTTCCAAAATGCTCTTTGTGGTCTAGCCCCAACTGACTGTGCTCTGACTTGTCCAGGAGAAGCTGAAAGCCTTGCTGCCCGTTTACATTCCTCTCGCCAGCGAGTCTCAGAGCTGGAGCGCACTTTGTCCTCCATCTCCATGCAGCAAAAGCAGTCAGAGAAGGTAAGAGTCACCTCTGTTTATGCTTAACCAGCAGCTCTGCCTTTGGCTGTTTGCTTATTACTACACTGCTGCAAAGTCTGCAGTCCCTGCTTGGAGAAGAGGTAGAAATTAACCTTGTTAATTGTTAATTAACCTTTTAAAGCCCTGTATTCCCCATCATCAAGGCAAACTTCATTCAAGTTTCTGTGACTAATCATATGGTCCAGTTGGTGTCTTCAGATCTGGCCCCTCATTCATTAGTCTGGCAGCTCCACACAAGAGAGACACCTTGTCCCAGAAATCTCCATCAAACACACACTCTAGTAATGTCTTTAATCCAGAAGTTTGCAGAAATATTTGTAGCATCACATTTGAAAAGACTGAGCAGACTTCTTCCTGGAAAATTCAGGAGGTTCTAAGCAAACCTGTCCTGAGCTTTTGCTGAAGTTATGACCTTTTCTGTTTTAGCTGATCTGTTAAAGGTGAAATAAAGTATTTTTTTAATACGTTATTTTTTGGATGAAGTCTATAGATTAATCAATAATTTCCTTTTTCTCCAGCATAATAAAGAGTTAGTGAAGGAGCGAGACAACCTGAAACTGGAACTGTACAAACGAAGGTAAGTCCTTTCTACTCATTATTGCAGAAGAGTCACAAAACAACAGGCAAAGACCACAGGTGGTGACTTGGGAGGCTGGATATTAAGTTAAAAAAAAAAAAAAAAAAGTAGTCACTAGATGTGATGTTTCTGTGCTTCTAGTTGGCTGGAAGCACTAGTTTGTAGATTTATGATCTGGAAATCAGCAGACCCAGAGCCACTTTAATTTTTTCTTTGTTCTAGCAAAAGTAGTGAGGAAATAAAACAGCAGAATTCAGAGCTGTCAGAGAAAGTTCACTCCCTGGTGTCCCAGAACTCAGCTATGAAGTTGGATGTGGAAGATTTGCAGAAGAAATTGGAAATGGCTGAACTGATGATTCAACAGGTGAGGGCAGAGGACACTGATGACACTGCCATACTTCCTTCTGAGAGAGGGGGCAAAACTTAACTCTTGGCTTTAAAGGAAGGCATGAAATCTCATCAAGAAATCCTTCTAGAAATAAGCTTTCTGTAAGGCCTCAGGGGAACAGAAAGTTTGTACTCTAAGGTGTTGGAGCTGTAAATTAACTGCAAAGCACTCACTGATTGAAAAGCAATGTGACATTAGTCTGCTAAAACTGTTGTACTATGAGAGAGGGTGAAATGTGGAAATACAGTAACTTTTCTGATTGTAACTGTTCAGGATTTTGGTTATTTAGTTGTGCAGTCTCACTGAATAACCAGCTGAGTAGGGTGGTGTTTATTCCCACCAGAGGAACATGGTCAATTGGACAGTGGCAGCTTCAAGTCAGCTGGGGAAAGAATGCATGGAGCCAGCTGTTAGCAGGTCAGAGAGCAAGCCTGGTGTGACCTTGAGCCTGGAGGGAAGAAAATACTCTTTTTTTTTAATTCCTAGACTGTGTCTTAAGTTACCCTTGAAATTAAGCCAACTGCTTCTCTTCTGGGAAAAGTGCTGTGCCTCAGATGAACCAGCCTTGCTGCTCAGTCAACTGACATGCTCCAGACACTGGCTTTAAATTCCTGACATGTCTGACAACTTTTAAGGTCACAGGCTTTTATACCATCTGATACGGCTGTATAATGCAGACTCTGGAAAGGCACAAAATTTCTGTGCCAAAGTTTGATTGAATCCTATTTTCTTAATTAAAAAAACCAGTAAATTTAAAATTGGTAGGGAGGAGCTGCCCATTCAGCCATTTTTACAACACTAAAATCTCAGCTTTTTGTTTTTAATCCCCCTATTTTTTTTTCACACTGGACTTCACTATGAGTTGGAGCATTTTAAAGAACTATAGATCACGTGGCAGGTTACTCTCAGGGAAAAGGCTGTGCAGGCAATGAATATTAACATTTTGCCTTAACTTTCTGATTTTTTAACAGTTCTCGAGCCAGGGAGGGAGTCTGGATGCAAACCAGCAGCTGCAGATGGCTCTGGAGGAGAGGGCAAGCCTGGAAACCCAGGTAGCTCAGGTAAGAGGTTGTATGAAATATGATCCAAATCTTTGATGTCTTTAAGGAAACTTGTGGGGCAGAAAAATGTAGTCTGAGCTTCGTACTAACACTGATTTCTTCAAGTTTTATCCCTTAAACCAAATTTATTTAGCCAATATGATGTTGTTTGATTTTGTTTTGAACAGCTCTCAGAGTCACTTCACCAGCTGCAGGCAGAAAGAGATCAGTATGTGGAGAAACTGAAGGAGGAGGGGAGCGCTTGGCAACAGCGGGTGCAGCAGCTCTCTGAGCAGGTAACCCTGGGGGCAGCATCCCAGCTCTGGACAAACACAGGCAGCAAGAAATACCTCATCAATGTTGTTGTAATTTTCATTTGTGTGGCCTTGCAGGTCCACACAATGGCAGAGGAGAAGGAGAAACACATGGCCAGAATTCAGGAGCTGGAAGACAATGTTACAGAGCTGTTAAGCACATCAGGTAGGGCTTCTAAAGTGGGGCTTCCCACTGCAGAGTGGAGCTGGATAACTGTCCTGCTGTACAGATGCTTCTGCACAGGAGGTGCAAGTTGGTCTGATGCTGGGAAGGCAGATGAAGACCAGGTGACCCCAAGAACCCCTTTATCCTGGGAAACAGCAACTGAAGTCCTGGTATGAATGGACCAGCAGCCTGGTTGTGTCTATAGTATTGGCCTGACTGTACTGTTAGTCTTTCTGGCCCAGATGTTTGGGAAGGCAGGAGGCTCCTGCTAGGGTTGTGAGGAAGTCAGTAGCAGACAGCAGCAAGCAATGCTTGGGTTTGGGGTAGGTTTGTTCTTTTTTCCTCTCAGTGCTGTGCACTGAGGGTTGGATACTGCAGCTGGTGATCCCTTCTGGGTCACAGAGCCCCATGGGCTGGGGTGTGCTTTGTGTATCCAGCAGGAATGTGTCTCACCCAGCCATTTTCCCTGTGACTGAGCCCCTTCTGATTGCATTTCCACAGCAGTGAAGCCCATGGATATTGAGCCTCCCTCACTGCCAGGGCCCACAGCAGCTGAGCTCAGTCTGCAGGAGGAGATCCAGCGGCTGCAGCAGGAGAAGGAGGAGCTGCATGGGCAGTACCAGGCCCAGGTCCGTGACAACGAGCAGCTGAGCCACCTCAACAGGGAGCAGGAGGAGCGGCTGCTGGAGCTGGAAAAGGCTGTGCAGCGCTACAGTGAGGAGGCTGTGGACAGACAGCAGATCCTGGAGGACATGCAGAGTGACAAGGCCACAATCAGTAGGGCACTGAGCCAGAACCGGGATCTGAAGGAGCAGCTGGCTGAGCTGCAGAATGGGTTTGTCAAACTGGTAGGTCTCTTCCATGCATCTTTTCCCTTTGCTTTCCTCACTGGTGCAATCCTTTTGTAGTGCAGATGTGAAAAACTGGCAGCAGCATTATCCCTCTCTTACCCTCTGAGTTTGTGGCTGCTCCATCCTTTGATACATAGTGTATATGAACCAGTATCTTTGTCCAGAACTGTTTTCTTTTCCTTCTCATCCCCTAGCAGTCAGTCTGTTTCTGTCCCCGGGTATTCCTCTTGCCCTTTCACCTGAAGATACCCATTTCCTGTTCCCTTGTATTTGCCTATGAGGAAGTTCTCAATAGCATTCTCTCCTGCTGCTGTCATTCTTACCCATCCTGGAACTGAGTCCTTACTCTTGCTTTGCTTCTTCCAGTGTAACACCTTCCTCTCTGGGGCCCTAGCAGACTGACACATGGTCTAGCTGTTTGGTTTTTTTCTTTAGTCCTTTTTGAACTCCTTGGTTTTGAATGTCTGTGGCTCTCTTTGGGATATTCATACCACCCATCTGCTTTGGAGCTGACAGGCTGCTTTATGTGCCAGGCCTCTTCTTGGCACTGTCCCAGCACTGATTCCCCTGGCTCTTTCCTTGCTCTTCTCCCATCTTGTGAACCTTTCTGTAAGGTATTTACTGTCCTAAACAGTCAATTTATGGCCTTCAGTTACAGTCCAGAAAAACACAAGGGATGGCACCCTGTTGTACTGGGAACTAACATAGTTTATTGAGAGCCTGTTTCATGGTGGCTGGGGCAGTTTCCTTACACAGTTGTGTTTGTCTTGCAGACAAATGAAAACATGGAGGTTACAAGTGCCCTACAGTCAGAGCAACACGTGAAGAAAGAGCTGGCCAAGAAGCTTGGGCAGCTGCAGGAGGACCTGGCAGAGCTCAAAGAGACGGTGAGGACCAGCAGTGGGATGGCAGGGCTGGATTGTGCAAATTGCTGGCAACTTCCCAGACACTGATGGAAGGATGGAAATGGGTATTGTAAAGATCTGGCTGGAAGCCTTCCCCTATCATCTGCTGCCTGATGTGGGGTACCAGCATGTGGAGGCAGATGGTGGCTGTCTGCCTGGTTGGTGGCTTTGGGACAATGTTGACAGTTTGGATCATGTCACACAGATCAGCTTTTCTGGCAGAAAGGGTTTGATGTGGTGGTTTGATCTTGTTCTCTCAGCTGGAGCTGAAGACACAGGAGGCCCGTGGCCTGCAGGAGCAGCGGGACCAGTGCTACAGCCACCTGCAGCAGTACACCCTGGCCTTCCAGCAGCTCGCTGCCGAGAAGGATGAGCTGCACAAGCAGTTCCTGCTTCAGACACAGCTCATGGATCGCCTGCAGCATGAGGAGGTCCAGGGGAAGGTGACAGTGGAAATGCACCTGAAAGAGCTGCAGCAGACGAAGGTAACAGTAAAAAGGGACAAGTGGAAAGATGGGAGGTAATCAGTGAGAGATTTGGCCAGTCCCTTCCACCTGGGCTGTTCTGTGGGGCTGTGATTACACCCTGTGCTCTACAGACAAGTGGTACCTGTCTGGAGCTAAAAGCACTGCTTGTTGTTTGTGTGTGTGGTGCTACTGTCTGAAGATGGAGTGACTGTTTGCAGTCCGGCTTGTGCAGATTTTTGTGATCTTCTGCTTATCTCTTGCAGGAAAGCCTAGAAGCTGTAGCCAAGGAAAACAAAGAGCTGCAGGCCCAGATCAGTCAGCTGGCAGCAGAAATGGATGGCAGGATTTTGCACCAACTGGAAGGTGAGTGGCTACATCAAGGAGAAGGCAGAGCTGGGTTCTCTGCAGCATTGCCTCCTTGTTCACCTTCCTTCTTTTACAGAAGGCGATGAAGCAATGACTGAAGAAATCCAAAAACCTTCTCTTGTGATCCCAGAGAAGTTTGAAAGCCATGAAGAAATGGTGAGTCGTAATGGGTAGAAAAGCCTTTGGTTTTAGTTCTTAACAAGTATCTGGAAAAGGAAAGCAGTTAAATTGAAGAGAGGTTTATCAGCTGTTATCCTATCAGTTGAGTGCAATCATGAGGGAAGTGCAACAGTTCCTCATGCATAGCAGCAAAGCCAAGACTTCTGCAGCATTCTTGCAAGACAGGTTGAAAATCTGGCATTGGTTTCCTTATGATGACAACTCAGCTGGCAGAGCAGCTCTTTAATGGGGCTTTGATGATGATGTTCTCTTGTTTGGAAGGCAACTTGGAAATGGTGTCAAATATCTACAAGATTTATCAGCAAGTACAGTCATAATACTGCAGTCAAACAGTTCTCAAGGGACCCAGGTTTTAACCTGCACTAATTGGGAATGAGAAGAGGCAGTAGCTGCTACCTGGCTTAGTTCCAGGGCAGTCACAGTTATTTGGTTTCACACTCATAAATAAAATGGGGTGAACTGTTACTCTGTCCTGAGATGCACCACAGATCCTGCTGAACACAGGGGAAGCACTAATGTCCATACCCTGAAATTCTTCTTAGGTCACTTTTGTGACCTCTGCCATGTCCCAAGTGGAGCAGGAACGAGAAGATCTGAGGAAGCAGCTGGCTGCTCAGAAGCAGCAATGCAGAACCCTCCTGCAGCAAATCACAGCTCTTAGGCAGGAGCAGCAACATCACGTCACGCTGGATACAGGTAAAGTCTCAGCAAGTTTGGGGACAGTGTGACCATGAGGTGCTGGGCCAGCTGGCCATGGCTGCTCTGAGACAGACCTTTGGGTCTGTGAGTGCATCCTGCCCCAGGAGAAACTGTAAATTGCACACATCCCTTCCAGGCTCCATTATGGATACTGTTCCAGTGGAGGTTCATGAGGCTTTGAAAACTGCCATGGACAAGCTACAGGTAAGCAAAGCATCTCATGTTGTTTCAGCCCTATTACACTTTCTCAGCCAGACTAGGATCCAGTGTCAGACAAACACAACACAACACCATAAAAAGATGCTCCATCCTAAAAAGCTTGCTCACTGCTTGGTTGTAAAGGAGCAGGATTTGTTCCTCAGGCTCAGACCAGTGTCATGGGGGTGATATCTTTAGCATGGATGTTATCTGTGTGTGAGAGCCCAGGTGACTGACCCCACTTTGTGTGTACAGCTGCGTTTCACAGAGCTGATGCGTGAGAAGGCAGATCTGAAGGAGCGTCTGGAGGAGCTGGAGCACCGCTGCATCCAGCTGTCTGGAGAGACTGACACCATTGGTATGTCTAGGCAGCACCAGCACAGACTAGAGCTCGCTTAGTGCCTTATTTATGTGGGGAGTAGAAGGTCCCCAAACAGCTTTAAGAGCTGGAGCCCTCAAACTATGAAGTCTTCTATGTCTCCTACTGCTGCCTAACTGGGCTACGTCTCCACTCCAGGGCTGGATTTCCTGGGTCCTCATGCCTCATACCTCACTATAGGGTTCATACCCCAATCTTGCAGATACTCCTGAGGCTTCTCTTGTGTTCCAGGGGAGTACATTGCACTGTACCAGAGTCAAAGGGCTATCCTCAAACAGCGGCACCAGGAGAAAGAAGAGTATATCAGCAGGTTGGCCCAGGACAAGGAAGAGATGAAGGCAAGGACTCTTTTCTGTGGTACTACTCCAAGCAGGGTGGGCCTGGGGCAGTGCAAACCTTTGTTCATTTGCTAATTCGGCGACAGGAGTAGGACTGCAAACCACAGTGGTGTTCATGTGCATGTTTCATGGGCTTTCCTTTACTTTGGTACAGATGAAACTACTGGAACTGCAGGACTTAGTGATGCGCCTGGTGAGGGAAAGAAATGAATGGTACAGCAAGTATGTAGCAGCTGCTCAGAACCCAGAGTTGTTGGCGAGCCAGACTGAAGGTGTGCTTCCAGCAGAAAGGCGCATTGAGCTGAATGCCACTGATGGAGCAGGTGAGCTGCAGCCAGGGCAAGCTCTGTGCAGGGGAACAGCCCCTGCTCTCAGCCTTGTATGTGGATGGGAGGAGTTACCTGCCTGCCTTGTCTGTGCTCCTTGCAGGGTTACGAGAGGTGAATCTGTCAGATGAAGCAGAGCAAGAGGCTGCTGTTCATCAATCCGGTTTCCCCCCTGCTGACAGCAAAGCTGCTCAGCCAAACCAAGAGGACCCCACAGCAAAGCAAATAATGCAGCTTCTCAGAGAAATCCAGAACCCTCAGGAGAGGCTGGGCTCCCTGCTGGAAAACCCGTGCATTCCCTTCTTCTACCGTGCTGATGAGAACGATGAGGTCAAAATCATGGTAGTTTAAGTGGTGCTATGTCTTACTGACAGCAGCTTTCTGTGGGCCTGAAAGGACTTGATGGACTTGTACCTGCCCATACCTCTGCTCAGTGCCCTTGGTGAGAACAGGTTCCTAAAGACATCAGTAAAGAGAGATTGTATCAAATGGAATTCAAGCATCAGACCTCATCTTCTCTTTCTCTTTGTTCTGTTACTTGCTGTGCTTGGAGTACAGGCAGACTCTTAACTCATCCTGGGAGACAGCTGGTGCTGCCACATCACCTAGGCTAGGCCCAGACTGGGGGCAAATGGAGTCCATGACTTGGCAAAATGACTTAATCCCTTGTCCCAGACTCTGCTACCACAGGAGCTTCACATGGTTCTGATCCATCACTCATGCCTGTCAGCCCAGTTCTTCCAGGGCTCCCAAAGTAACTAACTGTTCTGGTAATGGACTCTTTGGACTCTCAGCAGCTTGGGTTTGTTTTCATACTACGTATCCTGAACTCCCCCTTCCTGCTGTAGCCCTGCCTCTTGCACCTGTATTTCAGAACAGGACCCCTGCAAGCGGCTCCTGGGCAGCACAGCCTGTTCTCATTGCCAGGGGAAGGGACCGATGGGAACATTGAGGAGTCTTTTGGTTACTTGACAAAGCTTTATGTGATTCTTGGGAGTGGGGTGGAAATGTAACTGCACTTTGAAGGATGATGTGTTTCACTTGTATGTGTCTGAAGGTTTTATTTATTTTAAGAAATGGGAGAAATAAGTAAAAGGAAACCACTTAATAAACATGCTTCATTTTGAATTTCTGGGCTTTAGGGGTTCTAGTTCTCCATCCCTGAACTTTCCTCTTCTCCCATTTTGGTAAGTATTGCAGGAGATGAGTGGAAACTAAGAGCCCATGGTCCATGTTTAAGGTCCTGGGACATACAGCAACAAGTGTGGTAGTACCTGGCCCTGCCTTGAAGCCATAGCCCTGATACTAAGGAGGAAACAGAACATGGAGGGAGAAGAGAGCTCCCTGAAGCAGAAGCAAAACAAATCTGGGTGTGGAAGTTTATGCCATGTGAACTGCATGTGGATATCCTGCAAGTGAATCTGCCTTCAGGCAAGAACTCCCTGTTCTTAGGATGGGTGTTGTCAACAGTGGAGTTTTGAGGGAAACCACAGGGGAGATTAAAGGGACCTGATCATTGGAGCTGTGTGATCCAACACAGGAATTTGTGCTGCTGCCTGAAACAGCATCAGCTGCCACCCTGTCACCTGCTGAGATGCAAGCAGAGAAACACACATTTGTGTCTGTTCAACATGAGAGATGGTTCATTTCTTCATGTCCAAGTTGGTGAAACTTTACAGCAGCATAGCCAAGAGCTTCTCTTCTACTGCCAAAGGCAGATCATGTGTGGGCTGTTTTTTTTAAATGGTTCATATCTTGGTATTTCCAAATACAAATGAAAAAAGGGACACACAGCACAATCAGTGCTTTCCTGTGAGCCCCCAGGGGAAGCTGGATTTGAACTTTCATTCAAATGGCAGGAGTTGTGCGAGTTCTTCAGCCCAAGTGATTTGACTCCCCAGAGCATGGGGTCTGTACATTCTTTATCTGTGTAAAATGATGTATATTACTTCAGGAGAAACTAAGCCTGTTCAGTGTTAAGAGCTGCTCAGGCTATTTATAAATCTGTATCATAACTAATAGAAGAAGGGCTGTGATTCAAGACAGTATTATTGTAAAAGGAATAAATACTGGGTGTTTACTCTCAACTGTGAAGGAGACAAGTCCAGTGAAGAAGGTCTGTGGTCTGTTGCAGAGGTGACTTAACCCTGCTACAAATTTGCTTTCTGAATAAACTTATTCAGAGGGATACTGACTAGAGGTATTTCTTCTGCACAGACCACCTTGAAATTTGGCCAGAAAAAGAGAAGAATGAATGAATTATTGAAAGCACCTGCCCTGACAGTGAAGCCATTTCCACTGAGCTTTCATGAATGTTTTCTGTACAGACTGCTGACAAGCCTGAGAGGTGGTTCTTGGCTAGCATTTTATATCCAGACCCCAGCTTCAGCTTCATTTTTGACCCTGACCCCTTTCAGGAGTGATTCCTGGACCTTACCTTTACTCAATGTCCATTTGCAGTGCTCCACAAGAACTACAGGCAAAAATCCCCTTTAAGAAGCAATTTGTGTGCTAACTCCCACCTTCTGTATGCCCCCATCTCTGAAGCACCTCCACACAATTCCTTCTGCACAGGGATTTACCTTTCTGCACCTGACAAGCTGTTTCATTCTACTGCAATTCCTAGCCACTCAGGGCTGATGCAGATCTGCTTCACCTTCCCTATCAGTGACAACTTCTGATTGCATGTACAGCTTGTTCACTATGGAATGAAAACATCAGGTTATAATCAAACACAGCTTGAAAGCCACCCAGAGAAAAAGCGAGAGAAAGAGAGATGGTTTTATTCTAGTCATGGAGACCTTCGTTATACAGAAATGAGAGTTTATTTCATCCAATAAACAAGAGTGACAGGTAGATCACAAACTGCATCACAGCTACTACCAGCACTGAGACAGTTCACCCACAAGTCTGGGGTAATACAATAACCCAACTGCACACAGCAGAGAATTTAACAATCAGCTCAAAAACTCAACATTGGGATTTGGTTAACTTTTTGGATGTGTGTGTATATATATATGTATATAGATATTCTTTTCCTACTTAAGTATTTCCTAAAATTCACATGGAAGCACAAATGGCTTTTAACACCTGGACATATATAGATTTTTCATCTTATATATATATTTATAGATATTTATAACAGTAAAGATATGTTTCTCATTACTACAATATACTTGTTTAACTCCTTTAAGCAGCTGGGAAGAAAAAAAAGAAAAAAAAAACCCAAACAAAAAAACCCCAAAAACAGTTTCACTACAATCACATCTGATATGTGTGTGTCACAAGTTACAAACAAAACAAGCCATGTGTGAGATTCGAGTCAGACCATTCCAGGACAGAACAGCTAAGAGGCAGGCAAAGAGTCTCAGAGGGAGCAGGCCTACATGTCAAATGGTGGTTTTGGGCTCTCCGGGCGGGCGGGACTGGCCTTACCCGGCCGGCTGGAGGTTAGAGACAAGAAAAACAAAGAAAAAGGGAAGGAGAAGGGGGAAAAGTAGTAAAACAATAGTTAAAATACAGAAAGGAACTGGCATCAGAACAATAGAGGATCCACAACAGAAATTAAGAATAATAGCACTGAAATGAGAGAAACTGCAACAGGAATCAGGCCTGGAGGACAGCCTGCAACAAAGGTGGTTCATTTAGCTCTGGTAGAGACATGACATCTGAGATGTACAGGGTTGATAATTTTTTTAATTCTCAAGTAGGTTTTTTTTTTGTTTTTTTGGTTTTTTTTAAATACATGTAGCATGAAAAGTAAAAACCAAACCTTAAGATGAGTTGTGATCAACAACGGTTACAAGTTTCCCCAAACACGTACCATCCACATGCAAGAAAAGGCTACGGAAGAAGTCACCACAGTACCCCAAAAACACTGAAAGATGTGCTTAGTTCATAGCAGAAATATTTTCAACAAAACACCACACAGCAAACTCCCTGAAACATTTGGCTGTCCGTTTGCAAGGGGGGAGCAGCGTGTCTATTCCCCTCGCCCTGCTGGGTTCAGGAAAGTCAGCCAAAAATGGTGATGCAAGACAACTGCTGGCAGGAGCCAGTGTGTCCCCAGTAGGAATGCCCGGCTCCAGGAGCCAAGTGTGAGCAGGTCTGTGAGCTCCCTGCACGCTGAGGTGTGTGCGCTATCTCAGACTTCACTCTGACAGGACTGGGCTGATCCATTGATTCCCCCCCCTTTGCTGATCTCCTGCCTCACTTTAATATGAAGTTGATTGCACTGTTCCCAACATGAAATTTTTGCACCTTAGAGAGTCAAGCTAATACACAGGACATTTAATCTGTTCCTAACAGGTGTCATGTGTTTTGACAGCATATTTTTGCTAAGCCACGTTTTTGTCTTAAACTACAAGGAAAGAAAACAGCTACAGCTCAGTCCTGGGTGCTACAGCTAACTTTTGCAGGCAGGACACTTGTCCAGGCTAGACTAGGCAGATGGAATTACTGGACGGACAGCCACCACTTGGACCTAAGGACGTCCCTGTGGCTGATCTCTCCAAGGAGCCTGCGTACTTCAGGGATCCATGCCACTGAATGAAGGCTACTCTATGCTCACAAAGCAATACAGGACGCACGAGCGAAGACGAAGAGCTCAATCACTAGGCTAGAGTTTTACGACACACCGGGGAAGGGTGGTGGGAGGCAGGGATGTGGGATGGATGAGAGGAGTGACTGTGGCTGTGGAAGGGAGGGTGGAATGGGGAAGCCACCAGCACGGCACTCGTCGCCAGCTGTCTACAGCCTCAAGTTATAAATCTAAGAGGGACGGTTCAGCCGGTCGGATTATGGTAGGTCGAGTAGGTGAGGCGGGGCCCCTTCTGCTGTGAAAAAGCAGGAAACAAAAACAAGAGAACACACACTGTGGTTAGCACAGCAATTGCAGTCACAACCACACATGCTTCTCCACTTTGCGTGAGCCAGCAAAAGAATCCAACCTGAGGCACAAACCCTCAGAGAGTGCAGCTCCACAAAGGAGACTCAAAGACTTCTACTCAGCCTCACACTGGCCTTTCTGCACAGATCATCACTAGAACAATACCCTGGACTGCCAGTTTTGCTTCCCTCTGAAATTTGGAAGTGCAGAGATTTACTGCCAGTAAGTGCTGTGGCTCTGGGCTGAGTGGAGAAGCATGGACAACAGTGAGCTCCTGTATCAAGCACATGACAGTCACACAGCATGGATGGGGTCCTCTGAGACGCGCTGCTGTCAGAGGTTCTTGGCTGGTTTGGAGGAGCACCTTCTTCCCCTGCCCTCAAAGCTACTGCAAGCCTGAGATTCCCTATTCTGACATGAAGCTGATTTGGATGCCAGGGGCAAGCTTACAGCTTTCAATTTTCCAGTTTCTGCAGAGCAAATGCAGCTTCTACTTCAATAAAATGAACTTTGGCTACTCCTACTCCATCTGTTCCAACTCTTTTGCTGATACTTTAGCTACATAAATGGGCAGCAACTTAAGTGTTTGTCCTCTGCATGAATTAAGTGTTTTAGAATCTCCTTCCTGTAAGGGACTGGGGGGAAAAAAAAGCTGCGACAAAAAACATACAAAACAACACCCTTGACATGGCTCTCAGCTCATTACCTTAAATATCACTTCAGTCCTAGACTACAGGCTGTAAGAAGGCTATAAATAAAAATGTGTTCTGTAAGACTGAGTCCAATCTGTGTTTTTCCTTTAAAGCATGCCCCTGCAGTGTCTGCAACCTCAACTGCATTTTGCTGGTGTTTCCTTAAGATATATAAATTGTCCAGTACCAAGCCAGAGTAGTTTTAATGTCCAAACTGCCTGAAATGCAAAGAGCAAAGCCAACAGCATGTAGACCAAATGGAAGGTAAGCCGTTGCACTGATCATACAGAACCAGCTGTCACAAAATTAATGCCTCAATAACTACACTGACAAGATTTAGATTACAGAGAATCAACTCACTGCTAGAAATGAAGGCCCTCTCCTGACACAGGGGCTGAGAGGAGTGGGGGGAGAGGGGCAGAGGAGGATATTTGTACCGGTAGTCTAGAATCACACTGGAACTAGAGGAGTTACACTCCTATAAACTGGATCAAGTTGTCTCATTTAGCAAATAAACCAGAACAACTCTCCAGTCCTGTTTATTAAACCTCAGCAGAACTTACTGCTCCAGATCTATTAAGCCTCAGAGCTTCATGACATGTGGGATCTGTGCATTATCTCTAAGGGTGCTCATGGTGTAAATGCCACACCAACCCTTTTCAACTGTTATTGGAACAGCAACAGCACATGAAATAAAACCTTAGAGAACTTCAGCTCAACATTTAGTGAGATGCTGTTGCATCATCATGTTAGAAGGCATTTTTTTATAAGGTTGACAGACTGTTTGCATTTCAGGAGTTTGCACAGGGTGTGCTAAAAGCCTCTGAGGGTTCACATGAAAAGGGTGCTTGAAGTCACCAGAGTATGTAAAGTGTTCTGGCAGGAGTGGCCACTTGACCCTAGCAGGATAAATAGGGCTGAAAGGAGCACAAGTAACTCACAGGTAAATGGACTGCTTTTTTGTGATGTACTATGATTTTTGCAGACTTATTTCTCTCGGCATTCAAAGCATTTTAGGGTGTGGGGCTGTCACTTTCTAAACTTGTAGGCTGTTTCTGTTGAGGTTTTGGAGATGCTTACAGAATCTGCCTGGTAAGGTTAGAAAAGTCTGAAAACTTTCCCAGCACTAAAAGGGACAGAGATGTCTCTCAGGCAACATTTACCCCCAAAATGCTATTTCAGTCTGACTACATTGCTAGTCAAGCCTTTTTATATCACTGAAAAGTCACTTTTCTCTATCAGGAAAAGGAACAAAGTTTTGCTCAGAGGGAAGCCTGTGGATGTCCCCAGTACATGAGAAGGAAGACCTGAGCCCTGGCAGCAGCCCAGGGAGATGAGCTACAGTGACTGTCACATTCTTTGAAGTCAGTCTTTCAGGCCATACCCAAAGAGAACACTGAGCTAATCCTATCTAAGAACCACTGGGCTCATAGGGAGTTCCATTTATAAAGCTCTAACAGAGGTGGGAAAATATTATGTTTATTCTCTTGGACTGCATAACGTTTTGGGTGTAATTTTTTGGATCATTTGGGGTTCTTTTTTTGTTTGTTTGGGGTTTTCAGGTGTTTTTTTGTTTTTGTTCATTTGTTTTGGTTTTTTGAACATTTTTATTTCCTTGGTGCTCTTTATGCCAGATTAAAAACAGAATGCCCCATAACAGCGAGTCCCAGAATGGGGTACAGACAACAGCAAGGCTCCTTCCCAAGGTTGTTCACTCAGGATGCATGTTTCCAGGGCTGTCAGGGATGTCTGCAGTAGGCAGAATATTGGAGGAAACTGCTGATTACTCCAACACCTCTGCAGTGTGTCATCAATGAGGAGGGTTGACGATGACATCCTCGAAGATGTCAATCATGAGCAATCACTGCAATGTGGCACCTCTCAGCTCTCTAACTGCAGTTCTGTGCAGCAGTAACAGACACCATCTACTGCAAGATGGGCTGGGACTCCCCTGCCCCAGAAGAGGGGCTTGAACTTCTGCTACTCCTATTAAAGTGAAATTTCAGCATGTTCTCCTCGCCCCCAGATCTCTCTGCCACAACCAGCAGCAAGGGAATCTGCAGGAGTGCTGCTGCTCCACTCCTCTGTCATGAAACATCCACAGAGGAAGGGAGAAGGGGTCCAAAAAATCCACACCTGCCCTGTTTTGCTCTCTGTACCTCTTTATCAATAAGGGCTGGAGGCTCCCAAGAAAAGGACTCGGGAGAATTTGCTAATGTCCCTCTTCACACCCCCACTGATGCTAACAGGATGAGCAGTACACAGCACAAACCCACACCCTGCTACATCACTGAAACACTACAATACTGCAAAATGCAGGGAAAGAGAGGACAGGGAAATGGGCTGGAGCTCAGGGCAGAGTGTTTGAGGGACACAGATCACTACACCCTTTCTCCTGCAGGGGCAAGCAGGCAGAGGAGAGAAGGCAGTTCGAATGGAAGTAGGAGAGTAACCTAGAAGGTAAAGGGTCAAGGAAAGAACAAAGGGAGTTCACATCTATCTGATGATGGGACACAAGGGTAATAGGGAACATTCAATGTCAGAGTTACCCTGCACTCAGACATGGAAGTCCTGATATTAATGACCCAAACTCCTCTTGACTTCCATGAGCACTAGGGATACAGTGAGGATGGGAGCACTTCTCCAGCCAGACATTAGAGTATAAGAAGAGGAGTCTGAACTATCAGCTCCCCAAGTCTCTGTCTTGATCCTAACAGAGCTGACAGACCAAATCAAAGCAGAGTTTATTCAGCTGATCTTACAGTTAGTGTGGATACAAGCCAAATAAAAGACACAGTTTAGACCTTGTTGTCAGAGCTCATTCCCCCATCCCACCCTCTCTGTTTAGAAGCAGAGAAAGGGTCCTCCAGACCTTAAATCAGGTACTGAAGCTTTCCCAGCTCCTGCAGCTCAAGCAGCTGCTCTGTCTCTGATCAGCCGGTTTTTCTGTTCAAGACTCCTCCCTTTATGAGATCCTGGCAGAGGTGGTTCATCAGACAAGGGACTCTGTTACTAACACAAGAACTGGGCAGCAGAGGAGAGCTGCAGAGCAGTGCTGGAGGATGGGGACACAGTGACTCATGCATTGCAGCGAGAGTGCAAAACCTACCGTGGCTGCCAGTCCTCAGGGGTCACTGATAGTGATTCTGAAAGACAACACGAAATCAACATGGCAGTTCAGACAGTTCAAGGCAGAGGCCACACAGACTGTCAGGAAGGTGGAACAGATACACATGCGCTTGCACAGCCACAGTCACACATCCCCCTTCAAACATAGCATGAGTAGGGGGACTGCAAACACACAGAAAACACTCATAGCCTCATCTTTACACACATCCAGACCCTGTTATGCACAGGGGTGCATCAAAACCCATCCATCTGTCCACACACCTACTGGCTGTTGCTCACTCACCCAAATCCCTCACAAATCCAGGCTGACATTCACATCAGTGTCATACCCAGGTTTCAGCACCCACCAGCTGGGCACAGGTAGTTGGGCTTGTCTCTCACCGAGGAGTCCTATTTTCTGACCATATAAAATGTTTAAGAAAGAGCTCAGGAAAGAGGAGATAAGATGCAGTCCTGAGCACTACCCCAAAAGGCACAAAGCAGGTGGAGGTTTTTCTGAAGTTCATAAATCATGAAAACAGCTAGTCCAACCTCCTGAATAATTCAGGTCATACAGCTGTGTCACCTTATCATAGAATGGCTTGGGTTGGAAGGGACCGTAAAGATCATCTAGTTCCAACCCCCAGCCATGGGCATGGACATAGGCTATTGAATCACAAAGGAGATAATTTGTCTCTTGAAACTGTGTGTCCAGGAACCCTTTGGGAGTTCCAGTGATGTGTCCCCATTGTACTGGCCAGCACAGCAGCCAGTGAGAACCATCCGTGCCAGGAGGTAACCCCAAATCCATGCCCTTGTGATACCAAACAATGGAGAAACCACTAATGCCTTCAACACATTTTTCCAGTGGTTGAGTCATTCTCACGGAAACTTCCTTAATTCTCCTTCAAGCTCTTCCATCTACAGTTTCTATCAAACTATTTTAAAGTAAAGAGTCTAAATACCTGGGGGAATACCTTCATAGATTTCTTTCCCAGGTCAAATCCTAAATGCAGTCCATTTCACACTGATAGAATCTTGGATGGTTTATAACTTTCAGCTCCCAAAATGATTTATTTGTCTGTATGGACTTCCACAGGAAAGTGAGTAAATGCTAAGCACAGAAGCAGGATGGTAGGTCTTTGTTTTAAGTGTCCTTAATTATATGCAGGAAAATCTTTCCGTGCAAAAAAATGTAACATGTGGTGATTATATGTGACACTTATGTTTATGAAAAGGGAGCAGCGTGACACTTGTCTAAGTTCATCATTCATAAAATCAGATGCTCAAACCAGAGGCATAAAACTACCAAACTTCTACACAGACATCAGTGAGCACACAAAATACCACCCAGCCACCACCACATATTTGTATTCACTCCACACCACCAGCTCCTCCATCAAAGCCCCCTCGTGCCGAACACAAGAGCTTTGTTCCTCTCCCCCACGCACACTACACAGCCCGGTTAGCAAGGGAAAGATGGGTATTAAAAAAGCAACAATGGAGATGGCATTCGTTCACCCATGGCAGAAGGACCCGAGTCCAAGTGCTAGCAGGGAACATTCTTATTCTATATACAGGAGAGGAAGAGAAAGAGTCCCTTGTCATTGGAAATTCTCCATTCATCAGTGAACTCAAATGACAAGCTGGTATCAGGATCCGGAGGAGTCTATGAACAACTGGAAGAATCAGAGAGGGGGATCAGAGAATGAGCATCACACTTCACAGCTTCTGGAATTACATTCTCAACTCCAGATCAGGGCAAGTCAGTAGCATGCAATCCAACCTACCATCTCTCCTAAACCAAGGGGTTGCTCAGTCAAACGTGAAACTCTTTCCTCCTCTGCTCCAGTGGTGTTTTCCCTACCTTTCCCTAAGCCCTTCTCCTCATGCAAAAGGCAGAAAAGCCATTAAGATAGGCTATGACAGATTTCTTCAAAAAAAGGCCAATTCATTTCAGCCCATTTGGGGAATCCTATCATGATGGCCAGGTATATAGAATATTTTTCATGAGTGAAGAAATGAAACTGAGTGAAAGGAGGAAGATGGAGACAGAAAGAAGCGTAAGTATACTGAAAACAAAACCACAAAGTAACAATATATGGAAAGGCAGGGTCACAAGAAGCAGGAGCCAAAATACACAGTAGAAGCATGCTGACATCCATAGGTGACTCCACAGTCTCCAGGGCAACACTGAGGTATGTGAGGACAAGTTACTGTGGGAGCTGCATCAAGGTGCATAGGAAGGACAGGGGCAAAGGCACCAAGAAAGTAAAACCATTTACATACACCAAAGTCCAGAAACTGATCTATACAGCTGTCTGGACTCATCCACCTCTGGGCTGTCTGTGGCCTGGCTGAGAACACTTCCCTCCAAACAGGCAGCGCCAAAGATGAGCTGGGCACTATCACAGGAGGAATGCTGAACCCACTCTGCCATACACCATCCCCCAGCCATTGACAGGCTTGGTGGTTCCACAGAAAATAGCAATGTTTCAGACCTGTGCCACCAGCACCCACTGGAGAGGTGTTTTCCACAAGGGAAGCATTCCCTCTGGCATGTCACTGGGGAGCTTCTGGTTATGTTTGCTCTTAACACTGCAATTACCTCCTCTTCCTCAAGGGAAACTAAGTACCCAACATAAAAGCATTCCTGGTTCCAGACTGCTTCCCAAGTCTTGTTCAGGAACACGTATTCAGCTGAACAGGGGATAATCCCTTATTACTATGTTGAAGTGTGTCTGAAGTGACTGAACAGGAAAAGAAATGAGTTTCCTAATGGGAAAGCAAAGCTGTGTGATTTGAACCCTCTAGACTGGAAAATGCTGAAGTTGATTACACAAACAATAAAACTGCCTAAGAATTCATTTCCCTGCCAGTGATCCTGTGATACTCTCCTAGTCAAAAAGCAACTGAACAACTTTGAAGGTCTTCCAACTCACCTTGAAGAACTCTGGGCCAAGAGGAAAGGGGAAACTTCAGTCTCTGGGGAGCCCTACACAGAGGGGAATCTCACCCCAGTCCTGTGATTTATCTGGTGACTACAGGCATTGGTACAATTGCTGTAAACCTTGGGTACAAGGTGTTCTCCCACATTCTTTATAGTGGCTTGAAGAGAGAAACAGCTGCCCCTCTGTTTCTGAGAGCTGCCTTGGCATTGCCTCATCCATAAAATGAAATCTCAGAGGACAATAATGCTCCTGCCTCTGGATCCAATTCAAATATCAAAAGGCTGTACCCACACCATGCCCTCCATTATCCTCCTATGGCCCAGGCAGGCCAAGTGCTGCCAAGGCTCCAACCCAAAACCAGAACATACTCCACCTGTGTCGAGCAGTGTTTCAGGACTTACCTGGGAACACCAGGAGGAGCACGATTAGGCCGAGAAGGAACCTGAGGTGGGGGCCCGAAGGGATCAGGAGAGGCACCTGGCCTGGAGGGCACAGGGGGGGCGGACCCACCAGCAGGAGGTGGCCCAGGAGCTGGTCCACGAGATCCAGGTCTGGCTGGGGGCACTGCAGGAGCTCTCCTCTGCGGCGTGGGGCTGGATGTGGGGGATCTGCCAAACAAACAAAGGCATTCAACTGCAGCAACAGCTCTGGGATCCCTCTGCCACCACAGGCTGCCTTCTGTGTTTCTCTCTTTAGCTTCACATCACTTTACACACCACCCTTTGGCTTTCAAGGGCCGCACCAGGCCCCAGGTTGCCTTCAAAACTATGCCAGCCCCATCCAACCCAAGAGTTTAGAACGTCTCAACAATCTCTGTAAATATGTCCTAGGAGCCTGCCAGCAGAAATACCCAGGGCTCTTCATCCACAGGAAGAAGAGAAGGACTCCCTGTCTCAGTGGGAGGCCCCAGCAAGGCACTGAAGAGGCATCAGGCAGGTCTGCGGGGCTCTCCCCCTGAGCCTCTGGTACCTGCGTCCGGACGGTACGCTCTGCACCTGCAGCCAAGAGTCGTCCACCGGTGGGGGCATGGGGGTGCTGATGGTGCTGGTGTTGATGTCCCCGATGATGTTGAGGGCCTCTTTCAGAGCATGGTACATGCGCAGCATTTCGTCGCGTCGCTGGGCCTGCTCCGCCGACTCCTCCATCAGCGTGTTTTGGTCACCACAGGAGTACAGGTTTGCCAGCAGCTCTGAATGGATGAAGTCCTTGGTCTGTAAGTGAGCAGAGAGAGGGAATCAATTTTCACCACCTTTCCCCAAAGCGCTCTGTTCTGTCCCCACCTCTTCCTTCCACGCTGCCTTCCATTTTTCTTCATTCTTTTCCTCCCTCCCTATTTTTCCCCTTTCGCCACTCCCGCATCCATTGACCACAGTGTGATAAGTACATTGTTTATCATGAGGTGCATGATTGTCTTCGGCATGAGGTCTCTGATGGTTTTGTTGACAATTGCCATGTAGGAATCCACCAGGTTCCTGATCGTTTCCACTTGTCTCTCCAGCTGAGGATCCATGGAGTGCATGAAACTGTCTCCTCCATTCTCCTCTGCTTCACTGGCCTGCAGAAAAAAGGAGAGATTGGCTCTTCAAATGTAACACAAAATTGGCTTTTCATGAGAGCTAAGAGAAGAGTAGAAGGGAACAGGCAGGAAGCGCATGCAATAAATAAAACTTATTTAAACTTACATTTTGAGCTGTGATTGTCAATGCACAAAGTTTATAGAGACTTCTCCAGCTCAGATGTGAGAAATTTTAGCAATAAAGCTGCTCTCTTAGTAGAAAGTTATTAAGAAAAGGTGAAAGGCAACAGGGACTCCTGACCCATGTTCAGAGGTTATGGTTCCAGTGCATACTCAAAGCTGTATCATTATTTTTTAATGTTTACAGCTTCCTGAAAGGTTCTTCATTTGATCTGGGTTTTCCATGACCAGAGTCAGTTAAAACCAAGAATCATTCACCATAAATTAAGTCTCATAGGCTCTCTGCCATGCTGCATCTTTGTCCTCATTATACAAATGAGAAAACAGATACAGAGAAGTGAAATGACTGCTCCTCTCAGGCTGACCACAAGTAGATGGAATCAACTAGAAAACTTTGCTATCACTTCAACTGCAACTCCTGCATCGTAAGTTATAATTATCTTTTCTTTCACACCAAGCAGATGAATTTCTTCTTGTTTGCCTGAAGTACATTGTTTATTCTGTAAGGTAAAACCTGGACTGTGCTGTTTGACAGCAAGCAATCTCCAAGGCTCCTCCATTTGGCATCAATTTCAAAGCTCTGAAGCATGAAAGAACTGCTGCCTTCCTCAATGCTTATTTAAAAAAAACCAAAACAAACCTGTGACGGTACATTGAAACATCTTTGTTTTAAACAGACCTAGTCTGAACAATTTGCCATGTAGGAAATGGCTTCTCTTTTGTTTTGGGGAACAAAATATATGAGAAAGGGCAAATTCTTTTGTTCATTTGAGCTTTTGCTGAGAAGATCTTACATAATGTAGGAATGCAAGGTCTCAGTGTGAAACAAAGTAAAGGAAGTGGATGTTAAACAGGACAACTTAAAAAAAGTGGGGGTAAAGAAAAAACCCCAAAAATAAGCTTGCACCAAGATTCAGAAGTCATACAAAAAGGGAGGAAAAAAAGAAAAAAGGAAAACTCAAACCAAGAACAGAAACAGACAGCAGGAATCCAACAGAGGGTACAAAGAGGGAGAAGAAGCAAATGCCTCTCAGGAAATTGTGACAAAAGGAGAAAAAAAATGAGAGAGAGCTCTCTGGTGAGAGCCCCAGGAGGCAACACAGGCAGAGGGGGTCAGACTTACTTTGTCCTTGTCCTGGCAGGCCAGTTTGAGCATACGTGGAAAAAATTAAAACAAAAAGGGACAAAAAATAAAAAATGACTTTTAGTTGGTCTCAGAATTTGGAGAAGGTCCCATAATAGCACTGACAAGCAAAAGACCAATCCCACTAAAAATACATCAATACCTAGAAGAGGAACTAGTGAACTGTTTAGCTAACTGAAAAGTAGGATGCTCTGCAAAGGAAACCGTATTGTTAACAACAAAGGACAACTTACTTACCTGGCAAGGGCCACTGCCATTCCTTACAGTGTTTTTGAGACAGGGATCAGGGTTCCCATGTCAAACCTCTCCACTTGCACAGCAACTGGTGGCCCATGGCCACTGTGGGTAAGAGGCCCAGTTTGGCTCAAAGCTAATTTGAAGTCATGTCACTGTTAAAGCCCAGTCCCTAACTCTCTTTTTAAAATCTCTTATCAGTTTGTTAGGAAATGCTTTAAGGCAAAGTCAGCAATATTCAATTGTAACAGGACAGATGAATGTAAGAAATCTATTAGAAGCAACAAACACAAACAGAAAAGCAATTATCACTTTTCTAATGAGAAAACTATTTATAGCAGCTTCCTCTCACAAAGGAACAGGAAAAGCTTTGAATGGAAACAAATACCACAATTGTCTAGAAGATACTTTGAAAGCAGAAAATAATGCTGACAATAAGTGCTGTGGGACAAGAAGGGAAGAGATAAGAATTCTTGCTAAAAGAGCATATTAGAGCAAAGAAAAATGTATATTATTTATATTTGCATACCAAGCAAAAGAATAATTCAGAAACCGTCCCTCCCTAATTAGTTGGAGGAAGGAAAGGGAGAACAACTGCTAAGTCAGGAAGTTCCTAATAAGGCTGTACAGAGTTACCAAAAAGGAATGGTGCTTTTGCTCAGTGGATACCATACCAGTTAGTAGTCATGGTAGTTAAATGTCACCCTCATATTGTGAATTTAATGTCCACAAAACAGGACTGCTAGAGGGATTTATCAAGGCAGTCTTTTCCTACTTTGGCTTCTCTTTGAAGCTGTCAGTTACTTTTTCTCAAGCTTCCCTAATGGAAGCACCAGAACATAACAAAAATTTTTTTAATTATGAAAGATTCTCACCTCTGGAAAGACACAAAACCTTCACAGACTTATTTTTATCACAAGAAGATGGAGTTATCCTTCTCAAGACACCTGCTGTGTTCCTCCCTATCCCATTATTACAACTGTCACTTACCCCAACACGCTCTGGGTAGACCCCTGCACGAAGGAAGGAAGCCTTCCAGCTATCTACCTCCTCCTGGGTCTCACAGGCCAGCTCCAGCTGCCGGTAGTCCTTGTAAACATTCCTAAAAGGAAGACACATATTTTATTATTCTCTCTTGCAACTGTATTTGATGAAGATATCAATGGCTAGGGAATCCTCCTGTCATTTTAAGACAGAGGCATTTGATCCCTTGCTAGGAACCTCATGATGACCCTGCAAAAGGAACTTTTATTTCTTTTTAATAAAGTTTGATTGCTCTCAAATCAGTTGTATGTTTCAACAAGGCCTGAAAAAGATCCACTTTTTAATTCTGCTTGCTGCTAGACTCCTCCATCCATCCCAGGTGCTATGGGTTTCTCTAGTCACCAACCAAGAACATTGTGATTATAAATTTATATCCCAGCCACAGGCAGACTGAGGTAACCACACCAAAAGGGTGAAGGGTTAAGTTCACACCACAAGCCATGCACTGGCAAACAAAAGGAAAATTATACATATCTGTAAGATCAGAAGGAATGAAGTTAAGTCCTCCCATCTCCTTCAAAAGTGGCTGTCCTGAAAGGACACTCACATCTTTCCTGGACAGCTATCCTAACACACTCATCCCTACTCTGTTACATAAATGCTGTCCTTAGCTCCAGCAGCTTGGTGTGCCGAGATGGGAGCATACCTCTGTTCAGTGTTGAAGAGAGCAAAGATGTGCTTGCTGGACATGAACCCCTTCTCCACATCTCGCAGCTTCAGGTTATCCACTGGTAACATGTACTTCTTCTCCTTCTCCTGGAAAAGGCAATGAGGAACAAGTAACTCCCTGCTCCAGGGGTGCTTCTGCTCTGCCAGCATGGAGCATCAGCAACAGGGCCCCACATCAAGAGAAAGGCATTCTCAGACCCAGGTCCTCTGTTTCCTTGAGTCTGTGTGAAAAGGGGAAATCTGGAAAAAAGAGTTTGTCCTTCTTTTGTGATGTGGCCCAACAGCTCTGTCCCATTAACTTCTCCAGGACCAGGCACCAACACAGCAATGTCCAACTTCCCCTGATTGTGCTCAGCACTGTGGTCCCACTCCTCTTAGCAAAGGGGTCAGTCCAGGTTCAGGAAAACCCAGGTATGTAACAGAGAAGCTGGTTTGATACAGAAGTTATGTGTCAATAAACCCTGATGTTATATATTATGCTAAATATATGTATTTTTTATATATATCTCTCAAATTTACCTATTCAGAAAACCTGACTTGCTGATTTTGTTACTTCATCCTATCACTGTCCTAGTGCTAACATGCTATTAGTTACTGTGAACACTTCACTTTCATAAAAAACAAAAACATAAAGACTTGACTTTAACTTTCACATTTGCATTCAGAAACTGTCAGAAATTATAACCCCTGCTTAATCTCAAATCTGAATCTACAGCAAATTAACAGAATTGAATTTGGTTTAAGGCCCTCATTCAGAGCATCCTGCTCCAGCTGGGAATTATACCCCAGCATAACAAGAGAGGGAGCCCTCACACTGGTCTCCAAAAGGCAGAATGCAGATATCCAAGAGTAAACCAAAACCAGAGCATACTCCTACGTGCAAAGCAAGCACGTGTGACCATCCCCTTGTGAGATCTTGTGTGTTTGTAGACCTCTCCTGGCTTCGAACAACATGATCACTCTTGGGGAAAACAGTATGGAAAACAAGGATGGTCAGTGAGGAGAGATGCTGAAGAGCTGAACAGGAAGGAAGGGCAGGGCAGAGGAGCAGGTACAAGTGACAAAGCTGCTGAGCTCGAATACCCAGACAATGCCAACTCCAGCCTAACATCCTCTTAAGCATCAGCTAAATTGACTTGAGTTTGCTAAGGATACCAGCACCTCACAGGTCTGAGATACCCCAAAGATCAAACTGTACCTGTCATTACAAATCATATGCAATGAGAGTATCCCAAAAAACCGCACCTAGAAAACAGAAGAGATCACTTGGGCTGTTGCCATACTCTCTCTCAAAGATGCCAGGTGAGGAAAACAGGAGAATTCTTCCAAACAAATTTCCCTGGACTTTCTAATACTGCTGATCACTTTTAATTAGATACGGGCAGGAGTTTTTCTAATGGGTATCTGTCAGCCACATGCTGGTCTCAAAGCTACACAGACTACTTCAGATTCTGTGAGCCGCAAACAACTTGCAGCTTTCTATTACTCTGAATTATTATTATGCTGACTGAGGCTGAACTAGTGACCTAGAAGAGAACAATACCAACTGCTAGTCCCTGGCTGAGTCAGAACATCCCCTCTGCAGCCTCACTTAACTGGAGCTCCCTGCATTCACTCCACCATCCCTAGCCAGTGGGCTAGTAAAAAAACCACCAACCATCTCCATCCCACCCCACCCCCAAAAAAAACCCCACCCAAAAACCCCAACAAAAATAAAAAACAACAACAAAATTTAAAAAACCAAAAGAAACAAAAATACCCCAAACCAACAAAAAACCCCACCCAACAAATACAAAAAAACTACCAATGTTAAAGATGTCTGAGAAAAACCTTCTGCATTAGACCCACATAATTCCATACAAGTTCTGCAATGGTGTCATTCTTAAGAAAGAAATGTCAAAAAGTAAGGGAATTCCATGTCCCTGATATGGAAACAACATGCTCTTTGCCAGAGTTTCAACTTTCACCCTTTCCAAGCTCTCACATAAATGCTGCCATGTGATCAGGACAGCACTATCTCCACATGCTGATCTTGCCACAGACCACAGGGAAGACAAAATATCTGTCTGCCAGGACAACTTATCAGTCCTTGAGGTGGAGGTAGCAAGAGCAATCAAGTGGATGACGTGGGCACAAGACAAGAAGCCCCCAAGCCAGGCAAGCTGCAATGAGCCCCTGCTGCTCCCCATCTCCTCACACCTCCCCCTTCCCAGTCCCCCACTTCAGCCTTTCCAGCCTCTCAGTTTTCAACCCAGCCTGTTTTATATCAACAATCTGACTTCATTTCCTGAATGTAGAGACAGGAAAGTGGGGAATGAGCTGCCAAGGGCTGAGCCTCTCAAAACTTTGGCTGAGTGCTCTGCCCATATGTTAGCAATCTGGCAGGGTGTGCTATGGCTGAGCAGCATCCTGGCCAAGAGGGGAAAAGGGCTTCTCTCTCTCTAGCTTTCCAGTCTTGGAGTTGAGAAAGAAGAGCCAGCACACATTGAAATGGAGAAGTAGTTCATGAAATCCTATATTCAAAGTCCTCAGTTTGATCCCAAGAGGCTTATGTTGCTCATATTGCCCTTCATCAATAAGGAGAAGAAAAAAAAAAAAAATCAGGCAAAACTCTCCCTCAGCAGTGAAGTACGTGTTATATAAAATGTGCTCGTTGGCTATGAGTTAATCTGTAGAGCCATGAGGCCAAGGGGAGGTGCAGCCCCCAGACTGTTTAAAACAGAACATGGTGCTCAGCACTGGCTTGGGAATATTGTAGACACAGGGTCTACACCCCTCATCAGGGCTGCTGCTCCCCACAGGAGTCTCAGCCTGCATGGAAACCTGCAGAAAGAGATGACTGCAAGCTCCTTGCAGAGGCAGGATAAGTGCCAGAGGATTACTCCCCCGCCCCCGGCACAGTGCAGAATACAGCCATATGGCTCTGTACTTTGCATCTACCAGGGAAAGAAAATACACATGGCCAGGAAGCCGACCAGGATCCATGAGCCATTCCAGTTGTGGAGTGGAAAGCACAACAACTGCAGGAAAAAAAGTGATTCTGCATTTGCAGCCTGATATTCCAAATCTCTTTTATTGCTACTACACATTTCCTTATGGTGGCCAAATCCTAGAGGTCGGTTTTGGCCAGATGTAGCAATAACTGGCACTATCACCTGAATTATTTGTTGCTAATCTATAGGTAATAACCTACAAGAAGTTCACATTATTCAGCAGGCAGCAAGCCAACCTGACTCCAAGCACTCCCTCCATTCACCTGGATTGCCTCAGCAGCAAAGTAAATTTTCCTGCTCTTGGATACATGCAAAATGAAGCTGACAGATGCATGTGTGGGCTCCCTAAGGTTGGAAATTGGCACTCACAGCACAAGAAAGTAATTGGCAGAATTATTAGGTCTCAGTTTGCATTTGGAGCATAAATAAACTAATTAAAGGTTTCCCTGTAGCTGTTATGACAAACACCTTCTGCACAGAGACAAGGGTCTGTGGATATGGGAGAAGACATTGCCACTGTTTTAATTGGGGGCTGTGTGAAATTAGAAGAAATTCATCTTGCTTAAACCTCTTGATCTCCTTTCTCTCCTGTAAGATGTAAAGAATTACAGGTAAACAAACCTACCCCAGAGATGCCTGGAGTTTCAGTAAAATTGTTTCTGTTAAACGCATGCAAGGCACTTTGGGAACTCCAGTAATAAAACTCTACTGCAATGGAGAAACATTAACATCATAATTTATAATAAACACACTGCATGAATACATGCACACTAAAAGATTATTAGGAAAAGCCTCTGAAAAACAGTTTGGAATATTTGAAAGAAGTGAGCTAAGCTTTTCAAGCTGAACCGACCACTCCACTCCCCCAAACAAAATGTTACCAACTGCTTTCTGCTTCTTGTGTTAGCAAGCAGAAGAGCTGAATTTCTGATACGTGATTCCTCCAGGAAGCCCTGGTCATCCCACTACATACACACATCTTGAGACCATGTTTCCCAGACACAGCCCACCTGCATCACTTTTACCCTCAGAACATAATTTATAGGAATGAGTCCTCCCCCACACTGCAGAGCAGCTGTAATGGCTTGTTTACATCAGAAAGCTGCCTTGGTTTAACTTAACACATCCTAAGATTTTAAGCTGATTTAGTTCAAAAGCTCTGTAGACACTAGACCTGGACTCATGTGATTAATCACAACCATTACTGTTGGCTTAGTAAGCACAGCAATGGTAATTAACTCACCTGCACAAAAGTAAAGATTTTTATTCACATCAGCTGAAATAACACACAGACCTAAACCTGCAGCCAAGTGCAATCCCAGGAAGCCATCAAGGGGTTTATGAGGAAGCACAGGCAGAAACCTGAATTGCTTGAGAGAGATTACAGTGTCCAAAACTCGACTGTCATGACCCCTCTAAGGTCACAGTCATGCCCTCCAGCCTTCACAAAGGAAACCAGGCACTTCTCCCTGTCCTTGTGCCAGGGCAGGGATGAACCATCCCAGAGTGTCTGACTTGCTTTGGTAAGTGTTTCACACCCCCGAGTGAGGGTGGGTTACATCTCCCCAGTGCATGGTCAGTGCCAAGATGGGAGTTCCAAGTGTTCATATTTTTGGTCACAAATCTTAACCATCCACACCAGGAGAAGGAATCCTAGAAGGGAGACACGTGAATAAAGTCTTCTTTATCCCTGCAGTACAGGGAGAAAGAGCAAATCGTGTGGGCAGGGACTAACATCTGGAATCACTACATGAGAGCCAGGCGTCACAGAAAGCGACAGCATTCCTCAAGTTTCCATGCAGGGTAGGGGAACCTTCCTTTCCCCCGCGCAACCCCATCCGTCAGCCACTCACTTCCTGCCAAACTCTGCCTTCCCAGCAGCCAGCAAGCTCCTCCCTCGAGTCTAGTTAGTCTTCCACTGCCACGTCAAGTGAGGCAGAAGGACAGAAGGGAAGCAAGAAGGGAGGGAGCAAAAACCAGAAGAGGGAGGGAGGCTCAACAATGCCAGGGCATAGTGAGAAAGAAGGGATGTGGATTGCTCCTGCAGCAGCCAGAGGTGAGCTGCAAGGGCAACTGGCCAAGGTTGCCTTCTGCAGCCCTGTCAAAGGACCTTCTGGAGGGCTTGGGAAGGCTGGTTCTGTTTGAGCTTTGCTCTGGACCCGCTGATCTTCAGGACGAGATGAGGGTGCATGGGGCCTGAGGATCCTCCCACACAGCTCCATGGGGAAGAAAAGGAGTTGAATGAAGCAACAAGTTCTGCACACCTGGGTGACAGCCAAGACTTCACAGCATTTCCTCCTCAAACTGCAATAATCGATTTTTATTTTTTTTTTTTCTCTTTCTAAAAAGGTGCAGCATATCCCAGGTGGAATCCAGGTACCAGCCTGACACCAGCATTGGAAGAGGAAGGCGCTTGGAAACTTGCTCCAAATTGGAAACATGCAGGGAGCAACATTTCTTCTCCCCCAGCTGCCAGAGGAGGATGTTTTTCCAATCAGGACTTGGACTTTCGTTCACCCCATCTCTGCCCTGCACAACCCCATCCCAAAAGCAGGGAGGGGAAAGGACTAATGAGCTGCTGATTGCCGGAGAGCAGATCGCAGAGGCTCCACTCCGTCTGCCCAGTGTTCAGACTACCTGTTCAGGACTACGAGATTGTACAGTAGTCTGCACATTGGTTAGGCTGTGCTGGGATACACCACACACTGCCAGTGCTGCACGGGGACGGCAACACCTGCACGGCAGAGGGACATGCTTGGAAAGGGTGGGCTCTGGGGATGGCTGCATGCAGAGGTCACTCATCCCTCAGCCTGGGGGGTCTAACCTTTTGGAGCCATGCCTGATCATCACTTTTACCTGCCTGTTCACCAGCCTACTCACAACCCTCTTATTTCTCCTTTGTCTCTCATTCCATTCTTATTTCTTTCAGTTTCATGTGCTTGTCCTAAAGTAGCTGTGTTCAGGATGGCTTGTGTTTCACGCTAAGCTTTGCCATAAAATGCAGAAATAAACACACAGGCCTGTCAAGAGTCACAACTGCGGTGTGTTGTGCTACCTGAGAAGGCAGGTTCAAGTACTGAAAGGTGACTGGAGAAAGGGATTTCATAGTGTAAAGAATTTTGGTCATAATACAAAGAAAAACCCACAAGGTATTCAAAGTTGGAGGTTTGGATGCTCTGGATGTTGTGTTTGCTTTGATGTTTGTCTGCCAGAGAAAGAAAAGAAACTGAGTGAAAGCATAAATGAGGACTGATTAAAACTGAGTAAGGTTATGAGAAAACATACACTTGTGAAAAAAAATAAGTGCATGAATGAAAAGGCTCCACAGAGAATGTAAAGAAAATGAACATGTTCCAGAGAGCACCTGAGAGCAGCACGAAAGGAGGAGAGGAACCACCTCAGAGCAGACCTGCTCGTATGTTCTTTAAAACAAGCTGGATGCAACAACTTGACTGCAGCCAACTCATCACAGCAAGCTTCTAATGACTGGGAGCATCTGAGTAAAGAAAAAGGATTTCTACCAGCTGATCTGAGCCTCAAGGACATGGACTGGGGAGTGGGAAGGGGGGCTAGAGAAGAGGGAAGCGCATGTATGCAGTGGGGGGGACAATCTCTATTGATCCATGAGTTTATTTGTAAACTAGAGTTGGGTAAGAGACACTAACAGGTACAGAATATGCAGCTATCTAGTGACTGTCAATAAGGTCACATCTTCTCCAGGGCAAGAATACGTTTCAAGCAAAAGAGAAGGCATGAAGACGGAGAAGAAGCTCAACAAACAACTGATGCATCAGGAATCAACACAATCTGTAAGGAATACGAAACACCCACATGCACCTAAAGTACCTAAAACTCTGCAGTCATCCCTCTTTGTACACATAGAGGTCTCAAATGCAGTGACATTGCATGCAACGTGAATACCTTCACACAAGCAAATAAGGACATTTATCTAATGTAGGCACCCATTCACACGAGACCCAAACTTCTAATACATGATTTACCTGAGTAAGGACAAAAGGTTCCATCTGTATTGCACATTCACACAAATTCCCAAAGGAAGCAGTAGACATATCCATCCACCCAGCTGTGCAAACACTCCAGCACACAGTGGCACACAGGCACTCCAGCAGGAACAGTCACCCTGCAGAGCAGGGAGTGAGCTTTAATGGCAGGAACCACAGAGCACAGTGCTCATCATTCCATCCTGCCTACAAGGTCCCTGTCACCAGCAGCTCTCTCCAAGCTCACAGACCCTCTTCTAGCAGGCAGGAAAGCCCTGCAGAGTCACAGGCACTGTGCATTGCATAAGGGATCTGGGCAGAAGGAGTATTCAAATAAAATTCTTGTATCATGTCCACTGTGGCGCTTGCTGAGCAGCCAGCATGATCTGCTGCTGTGCTGCTGCTCCACTGGGATGCTATGGCCTCCCTGAGCAAGGAAACCTCACTCTGTACTGGCAGCAGCCTGAGCAGGCTCCTCCCCATCTCTCCTCCTCACTGCTGGCCTGCAGCATGATCCCACAGGGTTCAGGAGATGCAGGTACCTCAGGAGGGTCGCCAGGTCCTGGGAGGCCAAGCTTTCTGTGGGGCCACTCTCCATGGGGCCAGTGTTTGACTCATTGAAAGGAGACAGGAAGAAAAACAGAGAGCCCAGGAGCACACACACATGCTCTTGGCAGCAAGGCAGAGTGGGAAGCCAACTTTCCACCCCCGCTTGGCCCACTCTTTCCTTCCCCTCCCATTCCCCAGCACACTCCTTCAGGCCCCTCCAGAGCATCAACAGCCATATATCCCTGCTAACATGTAATGCTGGGCCCTTTAAGACATTTTAAGCTTCAGTTCCTTTCTTCAGAGGCAGAGAAAAAACAAGCCAGTGCTGCGGAAAGACTGGTATTTCACTAATGGGGTCCAGATGTCTTCATTCTGCAGACACTGGGTCCTGGCTTGTGGGACAGGGCAGGGAGAGGCAGTGTCCCCAATCCTCCTGGCCCCAGAGGTGCAGGACTAGCCTTCACCCCTATCCCACCACACACCACCTCACCCTGCTCCTTCCCCCATCAGCACCCACAGTTTTGCTAGCAGCACTTTCATCCACAAAAGGCAGATTCAGCTTTCTCCTTGTTCCTCTGGAAAGCAGCCAGAGCACAGGGGAACTAGGACAAGAGAGCCCACAGAAGTGCAGGGTGGGGCAGATACAGCCTCCCCCTCTTCCTTCCAGAGTTGAAGCAAAGATCATGGTGTACAAACTTTAAAAACACATGAGATTGTTTCAGGAGCTGAAGAGGACAGGAGTTCTCCTGAAGTGATGAAGAAGGAGAGCTCTTTAACAGACATGTAAAAATCCCCTGTCTGACAGGGGGCCATGCACTGTGAGCAGCTCTTGGGCATTGAGTCAGCTCCACGCAGGACTGAGGTTTGGGATGGGAATCTCCACGCTCAAGGCTCTCCCAGCTGCCCATCAAATGCACCAACTTTTAGCCTGGCTCAGTATTTGAGTCCAGGCGGACGTTGCTTCCTTTCTTCCTCACAACAGCCAGTGATCAAGGAGTCGAACTTGGGGAGGAAGCAAATAAAACACATACTTCCCTTTCCCCCCTGCTCCCACTCAGCTGAAAACAAAGGCTCCTTTCTCAGAGGCAGCTCAGACCTCATCAGTGCCGGTTCTCTCTGTTTAAGGGATAGGGGCTGGCAGGGAACTGTTTTCATTAGGCAGCTCTGCAGAAGGGAAATGGTGCAGACCTCCAGTTGCTATCAACCCCCAAGGCTGCCCTCCCTCAGGAGGGGAGGGAGGTCCAATCCCCATCCCAGGCAACTGGAATCTATCAACAGTTTATACATCCCCACTGCAGACCGCCCTCCCTCCCACTCCCTGGGGGAAGAACAGGGAATTCTGATCATCTCTGTAATACAGATGTAGCAGCTGGCTTTGATTAAACTACTTGATGTTTATAACCACTCGACCTGCATATGAAGCCCAGAGGAGAGGGAAGCCTCCCCAAGCAACTCTGAACACAAAGGGCAGGGGTCTTATAGCAGAGAGACACTGATTTAACAAAAGCCACTTCAATGCCTCGTTCTTTAATTAGGAAATTGCTGCCTGCTCATCCATAGCAGCACAGCAGCCATCTCCATACAGAAAGCAGCATTTAGAGGCTGATTCATCACTGTGTTTGTCGTCATCTCTACCTGCCGAGAAGGAAACAGGCCCACTGATATCAACTAGACAAGAAGCCAGGCCTGGCTGCAGCTCCCAGGCACAATACTGAGTGCCTCAGAACACCTGAGGGACACAAATCACAATAAAAGGCAGAGAAATTTCTTCATTTGCAATCAGAAACCCTGATGAACTCAGAGCTTATGACTGCATCATACCAGACATCCTTCATCTTTCAGCACATTGAGGGGACTAAACCTTTCAATCACGTTCTTACCAGAACCATCCAGCTATTCTTTTTCTTTTCAAAGTAATCAAAAAGGACAATTATCTACCTTTGTCTTGCATAGGAAGCAAGACACTGTTGACAGTGATTTCAGCTGGAACGATTCCGTCTGCTTATAACAATTCCCACTGAAGCAGAAACACATCACAGCACGTTGCCAGAATTGCTAATATTCAAGATTATCAAGCAACTCTACAGAGCAGGTCCATGTTCCTATCAGCGATATTCCACACATCACTGTACTTTTGATCAGCAGAACTCTGACCATTTACAACTCAAATAATTTTAAATATAACACATTAACTGCATGTTCAATATAATCAGTAAAAAGACATTGCTACTTTGCATGTTTAACAGCAGAACCTGGGAGAGTTTAAGTCATTTACTCAAAATCTGAAGGAGCAGCACGCACTTGAGCTAGAGCTTCAGGTCCACAGCTTCTGTTATTTTGCTCTGAGAGAGCTTTTTTCTTGTAACCAGGAGATGCATGAAATCACTGCCACGTGCCTTCAGAAAACTCACTGCTGCCCCACAAATGTCTAAAAGTCCAAATCTTGGAACTAACCCATCACACCCTTGATGATCACAGCTGCCACAGCAAAACGAATAAAGGTCAGATTCATTCCAAGTGCCTGTCAACTTTCCACTGAGCCAGAACTTCAAGCATAAATATTACTCCTTGTGCGTCAAACAAGCCACATTCACATCAATTCAGAAATGCTCAGCACTACTGAGGCCATGGGGAGCCTGGCCCAAGGATAGTTTCAGCTTGTCACAAGCTGCAGACAGCACTCAGAAGACACATCTGTAATACCCAGTGATCTGAAGTGCTTGTCCTCATCAGCAGCCTAAGACTCAAGTGGCAGAGTCAAGCTACTCACCTCATCATCCTTGTACCAGGAGAGGTTCTCTGCTGTCAGGACAAACCAATACTCCTTGGAGCCACCCTTCATGATCCCAATGTTGTTGATGGTGAGCCAGCCTTTCCGGATCACCTGAGGGGGTAGAAGCAGTGAGCATTAACAAGGACAATCATTCCTGGCCTTAGGTGACAGAGGAAGGATCCAAGGGTATCCCTACATGCAGAGCAGTATGGAAAGACAAGGAACATGGTGCTCTCTGCTGCTGCCAGAAGAGCCCCCCATTCAACTGGCCAGTGAAGGTCCTTGCCCCAAAAGGGCCAGGAACAGCATAAAAAGAATCAGGAAGGAACCTGGCAGTGCTGTGCATTATACCCTCTGCCAAGAGGAAAGAGATACACAAAGAACTACATCAGGAGTGCCTTGGACAGTGGCACAACCTACAAGCACCAAATCACAGCAAAACACCCAGAAAATGCCATGCCTAGAGAAAACCAGGACAGCAGCACACCCTTCAGCACACTGCAGGTGTGGAATGCTTCACTCAGCTCATGGTAGGGGGAACTAGTTCAGGACATGGCCAAACACCCCAGAAAGAATTTAGTTTAGTGAAGGAAGTCACTAAGGATAACAGAACAAAATGGTGCATCTGGAATTAGTACCCTGGACTTTAGCATATCCAGGTATTTGGGCAGTCATATTAATCTAGGGCAAGACAAGTTCCTAGAAGTTTAGTCTGTAAAGAAGCCAGGCTATTACTCTCCAGGGGACTCCTATTCACCAAGAGCTAGTTTCAAACCTCACACTTGCCATAATCAAATGCAGGTATGCATCAGCCTAAAGGCATTAGCTTTTACTATTACTGCACTGTTCACACTCAGAAACATCTGCGTGCATTATTTGTATCTTGCTGTATAGATATGCTTGCTGAAAACTTCCTGGCATCGAAAAATCACGAGACTGCACTGTGTATTAGCAGGTTGCATTGTGTGGCCTGCCTAGTTACCTGCCCTGGAGGTACAGGATCATTTAATTGGCAATTTACTCTGTAAAGGCAAATTTAGGAGCCTCGGATCTTCATCTCCTGCCTTCTATGCTCGAGCTAGTCCTACTCCCCGTGTGGACAGGAGGGGGCAGTGGAACAGAACTACACGTCCTTGGATTGCTGCTTTTTATCTCCACCCACTTGAAAAGATGTACCCGCAGTTCTGAATTCTTCCTCAACATACTACCTTTTCCACCTCGTTTCTGCTTCATCTGCCAGCTGCCCTCCTCTCCCCATTCGGCAGCAGAGGGAATAATGTGTTTATGCCCTGGTTTTGCCTTCCCAGATGCAACATTAATGTTCATTAGCACACCCTGCTGAGTGGCCTTCTACTCACCAGGATCTCATCCTGCAAAGGGGAACCATAGCAACAGCAGCAGAGCAGAGAGCAGGAGAGGAGCAAAGAGAGGAGAGATTATTACCAGGAAAGCTGGAGCAGGAGAAGAGAGGCTCAAAAATAAAATAAAGTAAATTGGAGGCTGGTACCAAATCTTTTACCCCAGCTGTTAACACAAGCAATCCCCATCCCAAAATAAATCTGCTAACAGGAAAGCAAAAGCACTTTACAGGTAAATCCAGAGTCTGCCCTTTGCACTCTTCTACGCTCAGCTCTACTGTAAGGGACTGCAGAGGATGGGATTCCCTACTGCTGCTCCAAAATGGCTGGCTGGCCAGTCCAACCTGCTGAGAACACCTGCCTGCCAAAAATCTGAAATGCTCTGCAATGTCATGTCCAGGGAGAGGTGGCCAAACATTCTGTTATGAAGAGAATGGATGCCAGGAGTGAATGTCTTTTAAGAAAACTAAGCAAAAGCATTTGCTTCTATTCTCCATGAAGCTGGTTGTAAGGCTTTGTTTCCAAGATCTTCTAGCCCAGATAGCCTTGCCATGTCCCCAGCAAATTTGGGACAAAGTATCTTTTTAATTCTGCCTACACTCCTTACAGTTCCTGGAGGATTAAGGGAAGCCCTTTGCTCCACTGCTGTCTTCTCCCATGGGTGTGTTCTTCTACATACACACTACAACCAAGGCTACCATCACGCTCCATCTCCCTGTACAGAGATTTATATACTTCCAGTGAAATTTTTCAGAAAAAAAGTCCATGAATTATTTTGAAATCTCTGTTCAAAAAGTAGATACCACTCATGGGAAAGACAACTAGAAAGGACAATTCTGTAACAGTTCAGACCTAGAGTTCTGTACCTCTCACCTTGGCATGAGAGTTGACACAATTAGTGAAGAGGCTGAACAAACAGGAATTGAGAGAACATTAATTCATAGGGATTTCTACCAGAAAAGCAAGACCAGATCTTGATTATCAAGATGCCATTGCCCTCCATTGCTGCTAGATGATCAGTTCTTCCTGACTGTGGGGAGCCTAAACCACTATCCTCCAGTTATAAACAGTCTGATGAGTTAAAAGACAAAAAAGGCAACACAACAAAACAACTTGGAGCAGCGCTGCATCCAGCCCAGCACTTGTCCACCTGGTAGCTTCCAGGTAGCAAACACATCCTCCTTGCAGCAGTGAAGGAGATGGAACTTGGCCTACCTGGTTACCAGCTGCCTTCTTCTTGCTCATCTGGCTGCTTCTCTGCTGAGCACTGAAAACAACAGCAGAGACATTGAAAACTTCTAAGGCTCTTCTTGATCACCTGAATCCTCCTTCCTTTGGATAGATGCTACAGTGAGTTGAGGCCCCCCACCACCAGCTTCCAAGCCTTAATAACCCCATCTTTTGCCATCTTCTCTCTCAGCCTGGACTGCTCATCTTTTCACTCCCACATGAACCTCATTTGGGTCACTAACCTCTCATAGCTGCTGGATTTTTTTGTTCTGACACAAACCTAATACTCTAACACCCTGTTCCATGCATCTCTATTCTCACCCCAGCCTTGCAGTCCAGAGCCAGTGAAAAAACAAGCAATACTGAGAGCTTCACCATTCTTGGGATGACAGCATCTGCACCAGGGCCTCTGCATCCCATTTACTGGAGTAGCTATAGGACAGAGCTACAGGAAACACACGTGGACAAGAGGAGGTGGGTGCTTACTTGGCAAAACCAATGAAATCCTCATGGTTTGTGTTCATGTAAGCCAGCTCAATGTCTATTAGAAGCATGACCTGCCAAAGAGAGGCACAGAGCAAGAGGTTAGTGACTGACACTGCCAACAGAGGCACACAGAGGTGAGATGGACATTGTTCATCTGATCCTCTCTGCAGCCAGACACCCCTTGGCTCAGGCCCGACTGAGACATCTTCAAAAGGTGTCCCCCAGCCAACTTCCCCTGACACACACTCCTGATCCCCACCTGATCCTTGGTCCTGCCTTCTCTCTCACGGATGTGGGTGGTGACGATCCTCTCCATCTCCTCACGCAGATGAGGGTACTGGCTGAGCTGCAGGAGAAAGGAAACACGTGCACATGGGAAAGGGAGGTAAAAAGGGGGCTGCAGCCCCCCACATGTACACATGCATACATACACCTTGCTACCAGATATTCTCAAGGGAAGTTCTAGAAAGCTGGACTTGCAGACAGATTTTTCCAAGTTCCTGGAGGTCTGTTGGGGGCAAAGTTAATTTCTGCTTGTTCTGGGCTTTAGAGAAAAGCCATTTTCAGTCTTGCAGCAACCTTTCTGCCTCACCAGAGCCCTGCTCCAAACTCACCACATTCTTCCTGTCATGAAGACTGCCAGGTTCCTTGCTTTTGGCAAAACCTAGATATAAGTGCATTGCTTCGTGCTTGCTGAGTTTTTCCCATTAAAGTGAGTAGTTTCTCTAGATGTTCTGCAGCTCACTGTAGTAGGCTAAGCAGGTGAATGGCCTTTTCTTACAACCTGTTAAGTCCTCTAGGAAGTGAAGTGGATTTCAGTCCCTGTTTGCTGAGGGACTAAGCAAAAGCATCTGTCTCTCTCCAACATCTGCGAGCAGAGACAGAGGATCTGACCAGCTTAAGGGTTCATGTCTCCAAGAAACGCCATGCTCTGGGCATCCAGCTGTTTCTACCTGTTCTCCACTGTGCTGGGGCAGGATTACATGGCTGAGACTTATGTTCACATTGCATCTACAGCATATTTTTTGACACATTACTGAGGAGTGAAAACTTTCGTGCTCACACTGAAAAGCAGGACTCTGGTAGCTGTGATTCAAGAGAATATTATCTACAGAGATATTATTTGAGTCACACTTCTAGAATCAGCAACTTTAAAGTCCTCTGGGTTTCACACAGCACCTGCCTTCTTGCCCAGAGTCATAAACCTCTCATGATTCCTACTACAGCAGCTGTTGCATCTCAGGTCAAGCCCAGCAGAGTCAAATGAAATTAATCTTCTAGATTCAGAATCCAGCCCTTTCTTCCCTTCTTCATCTATTCCCTGTGAAACTATTTTCCCTGGTTTTTTTTTTCAATATTACCTCAAATTTGACTATTATGATAAACAGTATTTCCCAATATCAGCTTTTTATACCTGCTCAAGCAGGGGTATAATAAGAAAATCTCATTTGCCCAAGACATGTTCAGCGTATGTTTTGTTCATTCAGTTTATAAAAGCTTCTTCTTAAACTGGTTTGCCCTTTTGTTTTGTATATATAATTATAACATGATACAAGAAACAGTCTCAAAATGTGCAGCATCACTTCTGGAAGCCAGATCCCACACTAACCACCACCAATATTCCTAACATCTGCCAATAGTTTCAAACCCTTTGAGCCCACTCACAGTCAAGCAACTTGCAATAGCCTAGAACTGGAATTTGGACAAGATTTGACACTATTTTTAAATGTGTGGCTTGTTTTTGAAGGCCACAGACGCAGGAAAAAAAGTGGAATTAGTGCTCTTCGGTACCACCTTGTCTTGAAAGCAAAAACTGGGTGTTCTCCATGATCTTTTGGTTCAGGCAGCTGGTTGCTTCAGAGACAGACAGGGAAAGCTTCCTGTTTCCTTTGGGGGGTTGGCAAAGGATAGATGGGCAAGTTATGTCAAACAGAAAAACAGGAAGTTGGAAAACCTTTAAGCAAGTCTCAGTTTCTTTGCTTCAAATTAAAAAAAAAACAAACAACAAACAAAACCACATGAAACCTCCCCCCACCATCCCAGTCCCAACCAGTTCAAATGCACACAAAGTGCAAAACAAGTAGTGGTTTATTCAGAGCCCAGCTCACCCAGCAACATCCATGTGCAAAAATAAATTGGCAGCATTGGTCCCCATGCAGGAGCTTCTGACCCCAAGCATGCACAGGAGCAGCAAGGGTGGGCAAGGAAAGAGGATAAACAAGCCACAGGATGTCACACCACCAAGGAACATGCAACAGGCTATAGAGGGGCAAGGAGTTATCACCAGCGGGACAAACAGCACCCAGAAATGCCATGACTCTGAAAGACAGGAGAGCAGGCGACCCTTCGAGGGGTAAAGTCTGTCAGCCTGGGATTGTGTCCCAGCTCAGTGGGGTTTCAATCCTGTTTTAGCATCATTTTCCTGTTTCATCAAAATACAAGCTTACAGCCCTCTTTGAAAACAAATTTGTCCCAATGCTCCTTAGCTCCCCTCTTTGCAGATTCTACGAGTCCTTGCCAGCACACCAGAGATCAATCTTCAGCTGAAGGGCTGCTGACTTGCAAGACTTTCCTGCACTTGTGAGACACTGCAGTGCAGTCTGGTACAGAAGGCTCCTGCTTTTGGAAAAACACTAGCTAGAACATTATCCTCCTAAATGTAAGGGAGCATGCTTATACCAGCTTTCTGTTGCTTTTGGAGCTATTCTCTAATAGCAAGAAGCTCAGAATCAGGCCAGTCACATGACAGCTGTTAATGGCAGTCTTCTCCAGCCCTCAGCTTTGTCTAATAGTCAAGAAATATTCAACTTTTCATACAGGAAAACTGTACTGTGAACACAGATGGGTTTGTCACCTTCTGTGTTCTTTGATAGTCTCATAATATTCAATCTATACAGCTTTAACAACTGTACATACAATGATTTCTTCACCATCTGGGGTGAAATGAAATAATTGTGAGAGAACATAAACAATAACACACAACAGTTCAGGACAGCAACAAACCAAGGCTACAGGACTGTTAAGCTAATTTAAGAGGTGTTAGCCCAAGCAGCCTTCCTTTCCAGAAGCCTTGAAGGACTTCTGGTGAATTTAAAGGTTTTTGTCATCTTTTCAGATGCAGCATCAGTCCACAACACAGCAGGCTGGGTATTACCTTACAATTAGCATCAGTCCTAAAGTAGCCTTTTCCAGATGCTTCCCCTAATAGCACATGCTCTTGTCCATGTCAAGCAGTTAGAACTATAACATGCAAAATAAATATTGCAAATTAACTAATGTCCCTGTGCTGTTACTACCTTATGCCATCAGAACCCATCTCAGTCCAGCTGCAATCCTTAAGTGGCCTTTTCTTTCTTTCTACTCTTTCAGAGGGAGGTACAGGCAAGATTAACCTTCTTACTACATGCAGATATTTGACTTCAAACATTACTTAAGTCTTCCTCTTTTCTTCCAGTACTATTGCTGTGTGTTTTCATTCAGGCAGTTATTTTACATCTAACATCTGCCTCCCTGGCCTCTCTGGCTTTAACCATAGCCATTAGTCTCCTACAGTGTCACTATCACCTTCCTTACAGGATTACCCAGGCTGCATCACCTTGGAATATCCTCACAGGGTCATCCATCACATTATGGATTAAAAATCCACAGAGCAAGTGGGTATCCAGCCACTCTAATGACATAGTCCAATAGAGAAACTGAAATTCAACACCCTTAGGGTTTTTATCATCATCCTTCTCTCTTCCCACCCAGATCGGACATCAGCAGCTGGATACAGAACATATTGCAAGCAATCACACCCATCAAAATAAAAAAAAAATCCACATTAGAAATAGGCTGGGAAGGAGTTACTCTGCCTCACACATCAGGCCCCACAATATGGCAACAGCAGGACTCCTCAAGAAGTACACTGGGCAGAGCTTGGGACATGTCAAAGATGTGTCCTTACAGAGGTGGCAATGAGCTCTGCATTCCTAAGTGAGCCAGACCTTATTAACTAATATTTTGCCCTCACTTTGAACTTATATCAATTCTTGTCTTCCCTTCCTTCCCAATTTAGGGCTCACCAAAATGCTGGTGAGTCTGGCTGCAACCCTGGAAAAAAGAAACTGTAATTTCCAAGTCCTAAAATAGCCCATGAAACAGTGCTTTCCAACTCGGTTTCCACTTCTGTTGTGCCACATGTTTCTGGCCCCTCGCTGGCAAGTTTAACACCAATTGCCACATCTGCTTTTTTTTTAAAGGAGGCATGTGGTGCCCTCTCCTGGAGGGAACCAGTCCAGGAATCAAAGCCACTCCTGCCCCAGCCTTCAAGAAGTATTTGACACCTTCCCTGTCACTCTCCACCTGCTGCTGCCCTCAGGTTTTACCTCCTGTGGTTCACAGCAAGCAAGGAAAAGCATCACACTACTTCCCCCTGAGCATAGTCCATGGAGTGAGAAATCAGCAGGAGAATGATGCAGAGGGTGTAATGCCTGGAAAAGCTTTTCTTTTTCTTTTTTTCTTTTTCTTTTTCCCTTCTGGAACTCTGGATGTCTCTTGCAGAACATCTTGCACCTCAAACTTTTAATCAAGTGCTGTTTGCTAGATGCTACTGCTCAATTTACACTGCAGACCACTCATGCTGTGGGGATGGGAGGTCTTTTTCTGGCTTTTTATCTTTTTCTAAAGCACCTGGATTTAAGGGGTTCCCAGAAATAATAACTAGGAAGTTCCAAATGTGCAGGCAATGGCACAGCAAACTGTCCCTACAAAGGGTTTGATCCACACTGAGCCAGACAGAGGAAAAGGTTATGCCGGAGTAACCCACTGGGCCTCAGCTCACTGCTCAGCTAAAGAGCCCATCAGTTGTCACCCACTCCCCTTGGCCTGCCTTTAAACTGCTCCTGTACCTGCAGGTTGCTGCTCTCCTCTAGATGCATTGTTATATCAATTTTCTCTCTCTAGATTTGCTGGAGTTCCTGGTGCGTGAGCATGTGTGGAGATAGAGCATGGAAGTGTGTGGGAAGGGGATGGGCATTGACCTTTCTTCAATTTTTTTGTTTCTTTACCTTTTCGCTACACTTTCTGATGGTGGATGTGAGCTCACTCACTACCATATCCACACACTTCAGACTTGGCTCCTTCAACTTCTGCACCTGCTTTTTCACTATGGCTTCAAAAGCGAGGTCAGGCGTGAAGAGACCCGTTCTGCATGGCAGGGGAAGGGTGGGAGGAAGCAACGAGGAAGAAGAAAGCAAAGCAGAGAAAGAGCAGGAAGAAGGAAGAAAGAAGGAAGGAAGAGGGAGAAGAGAGAAAACACAAGGCAAAATGAGAAGTGAGATTTTGGTTCATTCCATTAGTTTACTGAACCAGGTGAGCATTGCTATGGGGCCTGTGCACTGCCAAGTATCAGGAGAGTCTACAGGCAAATGGAAGTGTCAAAGGGGGAATGAGGTAGGAGCAGCTGGGCCAGTGAAATGGTGAGCTGTCAAGAGCAAGATGAATGAATGAAGCCCCCAGGGATCAAGGGATCACTTCCTGAAGGAAAGCTTCTTTGGATTTCAAGACAAAACTTTTTGTCAGTGAGCCACTGCCGCCTTTCCAAGAGGTTCACCATTTCTCTTTATCTCATTTCCCTTTCCTTCCCACCATAGTTATCTCCCTTTCCAAGTTTTCCTTATTCCAGCTGCAGGAAGCCTGAACAGAAGCCAGGCTAAGACCTGCAGAGGTCTATCACTTGCCTTTTGTTTTGGCAGAGCTGAACTGATATCTCTCAGTTTCAGGGATTTGGACAAACCACTCCACTTACAGAACATATTACATCTCACCCGCCTTCCCTGCAACATCAACTTCCTCAGTAAGAATAGATGTACCCAGTATTTAGGAAAATGCAAATATGCTACAGCACATCCACAACTACACAAAGCATCCATTATACCTGCAGCATCAGACCCAACATAGGCCTGCTGTGATTTATAAGGAATTATTAATTTCCACTGATATTTGTGGTCTGTGTTCTCAATGGCTCTACTCAAGAATAACAAAGTTCACAGAAACTAAAATTACTAAAATATAGCCAAGATCAATCAAATTCAAGATTGCTGCACCCAGAAAAAGTTTTTCAGCACTTCTTTTAACACTTCAGAGCTTCTACTGGATGCTCTTTGTTACACAATCGGAGTGGTCTTACCATGGGCCATTACTATTTTACCAGTGCTTTCAGGGAATAACATCCCCTTGGCATGGGAAGGGGATATTGCTTTTCTGAAGCTGCAGTTTATAACCACACCTGGGGTGCCTGCAGCTAACAGCAAATCCTGGGATGGCTATAAATAACCACCACTTCATGTAAATCAGGTATTACTTCTTCATCTCATCTTTCACATCTCTGTGGATAACACCTGCAAGTCCCCAAGCAACACCAGTATTAAAACACTCTTCAACACATATTAGGGGATGTACAAGCACTCCTTCTTTTAAGCAGCAAAGAGCTGCAGTATGTTACAGGATTTGGATTCACCCAAGGGTCTCTCTCCAGGTGCCAACAATGCCCCTTTTGAGCCAAGCAAGAGCATTTCCAGAGTTCAATTCGCATCCTCTGACCCAGCAGAGGCTTCCTACGAATCCAGTTGCCCAGTTAAGCTCAAGTTATGCTGCTTCCCCCAGGAGACTTAAGGGAAGTCTGATTTTTTTTTTAAATTAGTCCCTTACAATACCTGAGTATCACCTGAATGATGGTATTTTGTTTCTTCATATACAAAATTGTAACCATGGCTACTAGAGCGCGCACACAGAGCAACTAGAACTGAAGTCAACCACGAACACTTTAGCAGTAAGATCCAAGCTGAAACAGAATCCTTTATTCCTGAATCTGTGATGTTTCCCCTTCATCCATGTGGTCCCTTCTCCTCCCCTACTTCCCACCCTGTTGTACCCACTGCCTAATCACTTGAGAACTGCTGCCTTCAGAACAGAGGGTTTATTCTAAAATTGTCATTAAAAAGAGGAATGAAAAAGAAACAATGAAGTAAGAAATAGGAAGTGAAGGAAAGGATGCAATGAGGAAAAGAAAAATCAATGTGCAGTTTTGAATAGCAACTGATGAATGGAGAAAAAAATCAAAAGAAGCTTCAGAGGGCACAAAAAAGGAGGGCCCTTCTGATCCAGTTAGCAGGTGACTCTGGATACTTGGCAGCCCGAGGGCCTGTGCTTACCTGTCAACAGGCTCTAATGGCAATTTTCTGGGTGCTTCCCACAGTCACACACCCCAAGAGAGGACAGCAGGACAGAAAAAGGAAGCTCCTCCAGCACTCTAGAAACCTGAGCAACCTCTCACTGCGTCCACTTTGCTCTCCCAGTCTGTCCTGGGTGGCAAAGCATGTGTCTGCACACCTGAGCCCTCCTGCAGAGGCTCTCGGCTCTAAGGACCAGGCACTTGTGCAAGGGATGGCAAGTGTCACCACTTGGGCACCACCCTTACTGAGAGGGGGTCAGACTCTGTGGAAACCTCCTGCATGCCCATTTACCTGCACCTGAATAGCCAGTGGCGATTCCAGTCTCCAGTGCCCACCTAATCCTAACTGAGGTGCCTTTTCACCAGCACCCAGCCCTGCCTGAAGCAGCAAGTCATGGCTGAGAAGAATGGCACAAGTCATCTTATCTTGCTCTCTTTCAACCCCAACCTCAAAAACAAAAGCTGCCACATCCAAAGAGCAGAATCAAGGCAGGTTCCCACCTCTGACCCCAAAAAATACCAGTATGGATCCCAAAGGACAAAGCCTGATGCCCTCTCTCTTGAGAGAGAGCACAGACAGACCCCAGAGGCTGATAAACATTTCTAACTTGCTTCTTCTCAGCCATGTGCTGCTATTCCAGATCAGGATATGGACCAAACCAGCCAGAAATCAAGCCAAACACCACAGGAATGTTTCCTTGAGATACAGCCCACAACTATAAGTGCTGTAGCTCTAAATTTCAGCCACATACATCCCCCCAGGGCAACTCTGGGATTAATCCTCTCACTTCTACAAGAACAGAGGGCACTTGACAGACAGCCAGTCTCTGGCTTGGAAAATAAAGTCAGATAATAAATTTAAAGAAAAATGCAGCCATAGAAAAATACCCTTGGTTTTCAAAAGAACCAGGAGTCATGCTAGAGACAAGGCCAGGACATCTCCAGCATGCCCAGGTCTAAAAGATTCAGGGAGTAGGGCCATAGCACAAATCCCACAGTGCTTCCTTTCTGTTTGGCTTGTTGGCTGGATCGCTCCAGGCTGGCTCTGCTCAGGTCTAGTCATGCTGAGGAGGTGGTGAAAACACCAAGTGTGGCTGCAGGCAAGTCCCTGCCCAGGTCACAATGCTGCGCCGCAGCCAGCGAGCAGGTGGAAGGTGCCAACTCCATGCTGCCTCTGGTTACCTTCTTGGTGCACTGTCTAACAGTATTGATTAACTCCGAAATGACCATGTCCACGCATTTCAGGCACGGTTCTTTAATCTTCTTCACCTGCTTTTTCACAATGGTCTCAAAGGCCATGTCAGGTGTGAAGAGACCGGTTCTAAACACCCAGGGTGGGGACAAGACAAGGCAGGAAGGGGAGAAGGGGCAAGGAGAATGTCACAGCGTTACACACACATCTTGGAGCAGGCACCGCCATCACCAAAACCCGGGACATTTGGGCTGGGAAGTGTCACATCCCCTGGACAAGCCCTGACTGAAGTGCATGAAAAATGAGGGATGCTTGGCACTTGCAAGAAAGAAGCTGCTGAGGGAAAAATGGATCTTAGCTGGACAGAATAGCCAGGTCACCATTTCACCTCAGCCTAGGGGTGGGCTTACCCTCCATAGTGTATCTGACCTCAGAGTTGTGCAGGAGATGAGACCTGCTCTGGAAGATTTTATTAATGGTTAGGACATTGACACATCTGATACTGATACCCTTTATCAGCTGGTGACTGACCAAGAGAAAGGTATGAAAATAAATCTAGGTCAGTGTTTGTTCACATCCCTGTGTGCAGAAGGGCTCTGACAGGCACCTTCCCAAGAGCAGCACAACTCAGGGCTGAATTTTCTGACAACTTGCTGTCACACTGAAGGGAACACAAACCTGTTTGCTAACCATGTGGGGCCAGTGGGACCCTGGTGATGGGCACACCAGTGCTCCCTCAGATCTGTAGGGGAGATGGGGCTCTGTACCAACTTGTTGTGAACAACTAACTGCTGGTTAATGTGAAAATCAATGTTTTAGTTTTAACTAAACAAAGGAGTAGCATGGGGTTGCATCCCTCTTCCTACCCTCTCATATGTAAAGGCCCAAGAAGGATGAAAAAGATGTCAAGTCACCCAGGCTTTTACCTTTTTAGGCTTCTGTGACTCATAGGAAAAGGAAGCAAACTCACTTGAATGACTGTCCCTATTCCTAGATTCAAGCCAGAGGTTATCCCTCCCTTTGGCTGACCTACCGTACCTCTGAAGTCTTCAACTCCATTTGGAAGGTCTAGAAGTATTTAACAAGGCTTTTCAGCCAGAGCTCTGCCTGGTGTGTGATACATGCCTGATACCATGGATGTTCTTGATGGCGTAGCTGATCTCCCGCCGCAGCTCCTTCTCATCAAACTCCATCTGCACCAGGAGAAAATCCCATCAGAAACCTCCTGACCCTGATTTACACAGCAGGACACAGCAGCAGACTTTGCAGAGAAGAGGTCCCATGCCAGCACTCCCATGTGACACATGAGATCTTAGCTCGAGTGTTGGATGTAGAGTCCAGCCACAAAACTGCTGTGGCCAAAGCAGGACATCCTGGACACACATGAACAGCTAAGGGCCTCCATTTACAGATGCCTCAGCTGCTCTTAAGGCGCTTCTTTGAGATAAAGCACTAGGACTGAAGTGTTAGATGGCTTTCTAAAGCACACTGGTTTGCCTCACAACAGTTAGCATGAGATCTTGGTAGCTGCTACCACAAATGGTATCCACCACAAATGGATAAAACATTTTGTGTGAATTGTAAATCTAACGCAAGGAAGGCTGTTTATTTCACTAGAAAGGCCTCATCTTATTCAAATGTGGAAAAAAGGAAGCAGAATGCAAAAAATACTGAAGCAGAAAGATCTGGCTCTCAAGTTTGTTCCAACTGGCATTAAAAAAAAGATTTTCAGTACCCCATCCTGATCAGGTTAGTGTACTTCACCATCCAAGAAAACTGTCTTTCAATAAGAATCCTCTTCCAGTGTTAAGAGGGGAGTAGAGTTTCTCCACTGTTCCCACCTTTAGGCCATTGATAAAGGACAGACAGAAGTAATCCCAGGTACACCTACAATTCTTTTTCCTGCTCCTTAGGTATCCATGAGTCCAACTTTAGATCTAGTCTGATGCTCAGGATCAAGGAAGTACGAGTTTCAGCACCATTCCTTCTATATGAAACTCAGTCATAGTAGCATTGACATAACATATCTGCAAGGGCATTCAGTCATTGATTTAACATTGGTTGTGTTAAAGTGATTTTTCACACTCAATTTAGCATTTAGGAACTGAGCCCAAAAAACATTGTCATTTAGCTCAGAGAAAGTTAAATTCTGTCACAAGAACAGAGACAGAGGGAAAAGTCAGCACTATGGGAAGGTCCCAATAAAGCAGACTAACAAGTGGGAAAGGGTGATAAAAGGGAAAACCATGAAACAAAGTAGCTGAAGAGAAAGTCTGCTGATGATGACCATAAGAGGAGTAAGGAGACCGACAGTCAGACTGTAGTCTGACAGAAGTAGTAACATGAAACAGGAAACAGTAAGTGTATCTCAGCAGCAAGGAGAAGCAGTACCTTCACCAGCTCGAAGGGGAAACGCTCATGGAATATGCGGTTGATCCGAGCTCCTCCTGACAGCTCATAGGTGTCAATTTGGTCTCCAGAGCCTTCAATGCGTTTCTCAAAGTCCACAGCAAACTGCTGGACCATCCTGAAAGAAAACCAAGAGCATGAAGTAGAACTCATTGCTGAGCAGTCCTTTCCAGGGAGGGACACTGAGGCCACTTACTGAAGCAGAGCTTTGGTCTTGCGAGCAGGGTCATCAGGGCGAAAGTTCTTGTATTCCTCCACCTCCTTCTCAATGGAGAGGAGCTGGCTCTGCAGCTTGTTCCGCAGCCCTGGCAGAGTGTCACGGATGTGGTTGGTCAATTGCTGCACAAGAAGAAGGTTTAAGATGACAATAAGCCTCTAGGTAGTTACTGGGAAGAGTTTGCTGTCTCCACACTACAAAAGAGATGAAAGCTCCTCTCTGTGTTCAGTTCTTCTGCATGGCCCTAACAAAATGTCTATCCCAGGACAAATACTAATTAGCTGAAGGTATTTCACCTCCTCAGCTCCTGCCTATTGCCTCCCTCTACTCTTGACCTTCATTTCACTTTCTTGTCTGGTGCAAAACTCCCCTCCACACAAACCTCCTGACTCAAACCCAAGAATAAACTTCACATACAAGTATTAGCATTTGCTGTTTACATGAGGGTAAAGGCTATTCTGCCTTCAGATTAGTACATCAATGTGGTGGCAAAGCCCTTTTCTCAAAAAAAAAGGGTGAAAAGGCAAGGTGGAAGGAATCAAAACTACTCATGAAGCACTAATAAGAGGGTTTCCAAAAAGCACAGCTGTGGGAAACTCCAGGTTAAAGATGAATATTTGAATAATGACAAATAGGAAAGAGACTCTCTTCACTTCATAGAGTATTTCAAAGGAACAGAGAGGGAAGCAAAAGTAAATTGCTACTGTATGAAAAATAGAGATAAGACAGCCTCACTAGATGGGAAATGACTATCAGTATCACATAAAAACTGCTAGGTACAGAAATCACTAGAATTTAGAAGACATCTTTTAACTTAGCCAGAAAGACCTTGCATCCTGATAGAGTATATATCACAAACCAATTATTGAATTTGAAAGTGAAAGGATAAATCAGTGCTCTGCCTTTGATGTGCAAGCTCCATTATAGGCCTCAGTGTGCTTCACAGTGACACCATGGGCAGCAGTCCTTGACTGTGGACAGTACCTGGTTCAGTACTTTCTGCAGGAAGGGGGTTCCCATGCGATCAGCCATGTGTCTGTAAGCTGGGTGGGAGAGAAAAAACTTTCTCTCTGCAGCCAGAGCTGCCTGAATGTCCTTCTTGCCATCTATGTCCTTCTGACTTCTGTTGACCACACCAATGTAACCTGTGAGAGTTACACAGAGAGTTAGAAATCAGATGGCTGCAAGGATGTAAATAGAACTCAGACTTGAGAAGGAGGTTGCTCAGCGAGGAGCATTACAAAAGGGGAACTCCAGTTAACAGGGGCAATTGGAAGAGTTTAAAATTTCCTTGAATGGCCTAGGCTCTGATATTTTGGTAAGCAGGACAAAAATGAGTATGGATCAGAGAATTATCTTATTTATTACTGTTCCCCTAACACAAAGCTCACTCCAGTCTCATTTATTTCATACTCTCCTTTTATGAGTCCTTAGCACAGGTACTTTTGCCATGGCCACAGCAAGTACCATAGCCCAGAATTATTTAATCTCTTTACTTTGGCAGTGAGGGGAGTGTTTTAGACATCTTTCACAGCTTGCCTTAATGAAAGAAGGAAAGTAAAAATAAGAGTGTAAGGCTGTGTTTTTGCAAGGACTACATATAAAGGTATAAATACCGAAAAAGTTCCTGTTAACAGCATGACTGAAACCTGTTTTCCAACTTTTCTCACTTCTAGGCTGGAACAGAGATGGTTTAACCAGAAGTTTTAAGAGATATTACAGGAAGGGGATCCACTGGAGGAAGAGGATGAGGCCAGGACACCTCACACAGGGAAAACAGAGGAAGGAGATCATGGACAAAGCACGAGGAAACATACCCCTGCGGAGGGGAAGCAATTTGTTTTCTAATACATCTCGTGCATCAGTTCCTTCATCCATAAGATCCAGCTTGGTGATGACCCCAATGGTGCGTTGGCCTATGGAAATAAAAACACAAACACACTTGATCAGCAAATGACTCTTGTATTATTTTCCTCTGTTCACAGAGCTTACAGATTGCCCAACTTAGCTACCCGAGAGCTCTTAAAGTCACACATTACAGCTTCCATCATGTACAAGAGGCTAGAAGAGCAAAACAGACAAAAATCAAGATCAGTTCTCAGTTGTAACCTGCCAAATGCAGAAGCTATGCCACAGCAGAAAAGGATTTTAGTGCATATTTTCCTAGTTCTTTCTAGGCCAAATGCAAACGATTAAAAGAAAGGAAATTCTTCATCTCCTCAGAAATGTGGCTTAGACAAATTAAGAAAGAGGAGTAACAAAATTTCTACTACAGCAACTGTTAACACTCACTAATACCTCTCAGAAGAATGTTTGTTGGTGAAGATACATCCCAAGGCAACAGACATGAGCCACAGCTACTGGTCTAATCACAGCCAAAGGAAAATCAGGCAACTGCCCAGAAATGCCAGGATAAATTAGGAGACATTTACCTTGAGGATCCACCTCCTTTGCGATCTTCAGGGCATCAGAATTGGCCAAATCAGAGTTGGCTGGGGATACTGCCAAGATGAGGCAGTTCTCTTTGGTCACAAACTGCATGAGCATGTCTCGGATCTGGAACTCGATGTCAGGGGGCTGATCCCCTACAGGGACTTTTGTCATACCCGGCAGATCCACCAAGGTCAGGTTCAGGACTAAACACAGGACACAGGAGTTAGCACAAGTGATTTTTAAGTTAGGAATGTTCTGGTCTTGGTCTTTAAGTACCATCTGTAGTTAAAGTGACTTCAATATGTCACAGGGATGAGAGATGCACACACAAAAGCACACAAAGCTTTCTATTCCCTTCTTGTTACGGCTCAGTAAGAGCTAGTTGCAGTTGTTTCTACTGTGATTGTCAATAGTTTCATCACCCTTCCTTTAAATCACTTGTTTTCACACTGATCAGGAAAATGGTGCCCTCAAAGTCATTCCACATAGGCTACAATGAATGGGAAGGGAGGACAGTACTTTGTTTTCAGTTCATAATGGACTGGAGAGCCTTCTAGAAGAGTTGGTCCCTCTGCATTAGCACTCACCATGGGGAGAGTAGACTCGGAGATTGATGGGCACAGGGGAAATCCCTTTGTTGGAGCCAGTAACACGATCTGTTTCTGCCTCAATCTCCAAACGGACCTCCTCAAAATCGGTGAATTTCTTTCCTTTGCAGTGTAGGAACTCGCCATATTCTATTTAAACAGAAGCAGAGTCAGAAAGAGCCACTGAAATTAGAGAAACACTCAAAAGTGTGACAAAAGCATCACATCCTGATGTCACAACACAACAAAATGCAACTGGAGATATAGAGTCTGGGAAAGGCCTTTCCCAACAGAGTTTGCAGGTTGGAACAGAAGTTGCGGCAGTCACATTTACGTGGTCAACATCTGAGATAATTCAGTTGAACCCAGCATCTCCACCCCCTTAGTTCACTACATTTTCATCAGGGTCATCTGGTTTTGAGGTGTTACCCACTCATTAGAGTCACAGCTGCATAGTTATGATGTATTTGCATGGGGCCCTGACTAATAAATTAAAACAAAAAAAACCACATTAAGAAGCATTTTGCTTCTGAACACTTAATGCATCAGATGTTAAACGGGCAAAAAGGCTGCAGTTCATTTTTCCTCAGGAAAATTCTTATTTATTTTCTCCAGTGATCAAATAAGACTTTCCTGACTAAGACAGCAATCCAGCTGGACACACAGGGAAAGGGAGCTCACATACCTGTGCTGGCATTTACCAGCTGCAGGACCAGTGGGCGCCTGGTTACAATGCCAGATCCACGTGGCAGAAAGTCCCTGAAATGAAACAGGAAGTTTTGGATGAGTGATTGTTTCCTTCCCTTTTCACAGCTTTTCTGCTTCTATAAGTGTAAATGGATTCTAAGAGGGAGTCCCAGCTATGAGCACAAAAAGTTTAAGGCACTAAACACAAAGTGCCTCTCCTTGAGAAGGGCAAGAACTTGTTCTGAAGTAATTTATACTCACAGCAGAGTCCCTCTAATCATGTCTGTGACAGTAGTTTCTCCAGCTGAAGTTCCAAGTTAACTAACAAACCCATTTAATACAGCTGTCTGTACTTTGGAAAAAAATAATCTTTCAGAAAGAAAAGAGAAGTTGGCATAGAGCCAAAGAACTAGCATGCCTCCTTTTGGCAAAAACAATTACACAAATTCACTCACACCCTGCACTTGGGGCTTGAGAAGACACCACACTGCCCCAGTGCGCAAACACCATGTGATACAACTGAGAAAATAACCAGCAGCAAAAGGCTTGTCTCCACACAGGATCTCTCCTGGCTATAACTACTCAAGATACCAGTATTGCCAAGACAAAAGCAGCACTTTCTTTCTGTATTTACAAGAATCCTAAATTTTTGTGTACTTCAAGTAATTTCAAGGGAAAGCAGCCTTACACTAACATTCTCCAAATGCTGACTTAGCAGCCACAGCCCACCAGTTCTCCTTTGCTTTTCCTTTTTTTCCAATCCAAAGCTAGGCGTGCTCACTGCATCTGCTGATGACCTAGCTGGTTTGTGGCTTGGTTTTCTAGTACTTGGCTATTCATCTTCAAGAGCCACTGAGCAGTTCTGAAAATATAATCAATTGCTTTCTCACCTACTGGGAGAAAATTCACTTCAAAATATGTTTCCTACAGCATGAACATAGTTTTCTCTGTTAAAAGAAGCCCTGCCTACACTGGCAGGGTTCTGGCAGACAATCCTCCTTCCCTTCATAGCTGTGGCAAGGAATAATTTTGTTGATTCAAGAGTAACTATTGACTCCACTGAATGAGAAATCCAGGGCTCTCCACTTTGAGGTCTTCCTCTTACTCCTGCATTAACTTAAGATTGGCAAAATCCATGAAGATGAGAAATGAGTTTCTGTTCCAACACACCAGACAAGGCCTTGAGCAGCTCTGTCTCAGCTCCTGGTTTGGCCACTCATTTCCTGTGTAACCCCTATGGAAGTTATTCTGCTTCTCTGTATTTCCATTTTCTCAGCAATAAAAGTAATTCCCCATCTGTGGGAATGTTAGAATAACCTGGTAATATCAAAAACTGGAGACTAGGTTTAAGTGAAATGAGTGTAAGGAGGCACTATACATCCTCTAACACCTCAAATATCACCTGTTAATTACTAAGTCAGGGGAAATGGAGCCTCAGGTACAAATCTACCAGTTAAAATTAGACTGAATTCTCATTATTTTAGACTTTCCAGAAGTATAAACACTTAACTGGGGAATGCCTTTCATTTGATTTTCACATAATACAGCTCTAGCTTTTCCATTCCAGTGGGATTAACCCTGGAATCTTTGAGACACTGCATCATTCTAACAGTTTTCTGCTGTCTCAGCTCCATTCCTATAGATGTCTGCGGCCAGTATGTGGAGAAGTTCTATCTTTGTATCAGTTGTTAGCATAACCAATCCATTTGAGCTCCACTGAATTATTTTGAACTTGTACCTGAGAAAAAGGAATCCTATCACTACAGATTCCCTTTCCAGCACACATAGACAGTCCCCTAGTTACTGATTTCCAACTTGCAGTATCAAATCTTGCTTTACTGTAGAAAAAGGACCACTTGCATTTATACACATGAAATCAATAGGAAGCAAGCTGCACTATGTTTTCCTGAATCTTTCTGCTTTGGTTAAAATCCCGATTTCTCTGCTGTCCTTATCATAGCTACTAAGAAAAAAAAATTCAAGACAAAGACAGAAGACCTATGACACTGGGTTCCAGCATTATTTCAAAAAGATCCAATTTATTTGTTAACTCAAGTAGCTCCCAGGCTATTCCAAGGAAAAACCACCAAGTCCTCTAGATGACAAGACAACAAATCCACAAGTCAAATTTTGTCACCTAAACCAATAATCTTTAGCACTGCTCTAGTTCTGAGTGAAAATACACAATGAAAATCTGATCTCTAATATCAGAAAATTAATGCATGTTCTTACCCACAAACTATTAGGAGGTACACGCAGTTCAACTCTCAAATCTTCTCTACACTTGACTCCTATCAGAAGTTACAGCCAAAAAGCTTTATTAAAAAAACTCCTACAACTGATGCAATATCATCTCATTGTATCCATGTTATTTCCTATTCTTCATTTACTTTCTCTCTACAGTCTTGTAAAAACCCCTTCCTCCTCCTGCTCCAGCTAAGCCTTTCAAATCACAGAAACTAAAAAGTAGGGATTAGTAAATTTTGCAGGGAGCTGGTTAAGTGCCAAGGAGCAAGAGGAATGGAGAGTCCTGCCTGCCCCTCATGCAAGGGGCACAAACTGCTGCTGCAAATAAATTAGAGCCACAGAGCACGTGTGGCACAGACAACATACCCAGGACAGTCTGAGTTCACTTCAGAGCCTGAAGGAAGAGCTACACACACAGCTATTGCTCCAGGAAGAGCAGCTCAAAGTGATAACGCCAAGCTGGAATCAGGAACACACCACACCAGTAAAAACCACCACATGCCAGGTGACCTAGGCAGGCAAATGCAGAGAGGTTGAACTGGCTTATTCGTTTCCAGCAGGGGAGATGTCAAAGAGCAAGGCTGAAGGAGGAAAAGGAAAGATGGAATAAGTCTGAAGAGATAAAATGTTATAAAGGCTTTGAGTGCTGAGACAAGACAGGCTCTAGCATGACACCAGAGCCTCATTACATACATCACTATACATGACTGTGCCTGAATTATATTACTCAGGTTGAGGCCACCAATCCCCTGTTTTTCCCCTTTCACTTTTTATCGTAAGAATTGGAAAGTCTTTTTTCTGTTGCTTTGTTTGTAGGACACAGAAGTGCACGACAACATTTGATTTCCTGTGCTTTAAAGCAGGAATACAACACTGTGCCACTCCTCCAGGCTAGGCTTCATCTAGAAAATACACGAAATAGCAGCTAAAACAGAGCTGTATTCAGGGAATATAAATACTTAATTTGCTTGTAGCTTTCTTAGCTATTGACTCAAAATTCTGAATCAAGATATTGAGGTATTAGTTCTAGCAATGCAATTACAAGGTTTTAGCAAGGTTGAAAAACTAGGCTCAGATAACTACATTTCTCAAAACATTGCTTATTTCTATATATTTCACACTTATTTTTTATTAACAACAGGCAGAGAGAGAATATTAAGGAAGGCAAATTCTTGGTCTGACCAGAGATAAATCTCTTCTAAACCAAGGCAACAAAAAGAACCAAGGATGCAAATCTTGATGGGTCTCAGGCTGAAAGAGTTCAGGCAGGGAAGTGTCCTGAACAGACATTTATTGTTGTATCTTGCATTGCTCATTTCTGAAGTGCTTATATATGTTCTTGACTAGCTACCTTGAAGCAAGCACAATCACAGCATCCCTTCCAGTCTTATTACTATTTTCATATGCAGAGCTGCATGAGAGTGCAGATTTGGGCTGAAAGCTGCATTCGTAATGTAGTAAAAAAAAAACCTGAAGGGAAGGGAACCAATCTAGTAGTTACTGTAGAGCAAAACTGAAACAAAACGCAAACACCGTGAAAACACATTAAAGCAATCTTGATGTCATGCAACAATACATTTATAATCAGGGCACTGGGAATTGGGGTTTCCTTAATTGTTTTGTTGGTTTGCTTGTTTGAAGTTTTTAACTAAAGCCAGACACTATATACAAAAAGCCTTCCTGCATTAGGTAACTTAGAATCCCATGAAACAAAAAGGTTATTAGTGGCTATTAGTGACCAAAAAACCCACTTCTGCTTTACAAACAAGTTTTAGAATTCATTTAATGACTTGCACAGTATAGAGGATAAAAAGTTAAAAGTTTTGTCAACCAAAGACACTTTGCCCAGACTATTCATAAAACAAAGGAGATTGACAAACTGCTTGTACAAATCAACATAAAATGGAAAGGAACCAAAGACGGATGCAATCAAAAAAGTAGGATATATACCCATATGGAAATCTTGGGATTACTTGAAGAGGCACACCCTGAAACTTTCAGTCATGTTTCTTGTGTTTATTCACCGTTGCAATACTGAAGAAAATGTGACTGTCCACTAAAAGATACTTAGATGAGCTAGCTACCTGCAGTAGGGGCACATTTGTGTCCACACACACACAGTTTCCTCAGACCAAAGAATACTTGTTTACTCCTTTGGTCAAACACCTGATCTGATGATTTCCTATTAAATGAGATATGGAGATCTCTGGAGGAGGAACAAGTCTTTGAGCATCTCAGTGACTGTTAGGGGCATGTTGTGCCTGGTCCACCAGCTTTGCTGGAATAAATACTCTCAATCCTCATAAGTGCAAGACCAGTGATTGCATGAGCCAGTCTGTCCCTTCATGCTTTGCCAGAAGTGCCAGCTCACTGCTTTAGGTTTGTGCTCTAAGGCTTAGAGATTCCTGTAACATTTACAGTGCTGTTTCATTCCAGCAATGTGGTATTTGCAAACCTCTCTTTGACCCTGTAGCTATGATATCAGAAGTGATAACCACAACTTCCTAACAGGGAAGGGCAAGAATGGCATCCCCACACATCAGCTCAGGCTGCAACTGCTTCTCCATAGATTCTCTTCCACTGCAAATATGTGCATCATTTATTCCCTCTTTCCACCAAATTCAAGTTTTGCACCCTCTCCATTCACTGGCAACCTGTATTTCTGAAAGAACTTTGAGTCAAAGCTTTTCCATGCATGATTATTGTCTTCACTGAAGTTGCAACAGAACTATTCAGCAGCCAAAACCAGAATAAAGCCCACGGTACCATCTCTTGTTCTACATGGAAGACAGACCAAATGCTTGCTTTCCCTGTCTCCAGAGAAGCTGGAAGGCTCGGACAGCTGTTTGTAGAGGGCTCTGCAATACAAATCTAGGCCTAGTCTAGTCAAATCAACACAGCATTGTCGCAGTCAATAGTTTGCTAGACTTTTGAGATTCTTGAATTAGAATGCATTAGAGAACATAAAGCCTCAATTAAAGAGCCAGAACAGCAGTTTATGAAGACATAAAAGTAGTTGCAAAGAACAGAAGGGAACACCAGCATCTGATCATTTAATTTCAATTTGATTTCTTATTAAACATCTACAGACAAATAGGATATTAAGGGATGTGATTAATCCCCAGCTTGGATTATATTAGTTTCAGAAAATTAAAATTCACACAGCCTCCATAATTTCACACGGCTGTTTGTATTTTAATTCCAGTATTTGTAGCTTCCTGTGTTCTGATGGTGCCTGGGGACAGCAATTCAATCAGGAATGCACTGCACAAAGCACTATGCCAATACACCACAAGAAATACAGTTCTGTCCCTATGGATTTTACTGTCTGGCTACACAGTTCAGACCTGCTCCTGCTTAAGCTTCAAACCATTTTCATCTGTCAAGGCTTATAATTGATCATTCATCATTCTCACACATCCAGATCAAGAGTTCCTCCCTAGCTCATGATGGCATGGTGCTTTACAAGAACCCCAAGCCAATCTAGGGGTATTGGTATCTTTGACATATAATTCTTCTGGTCACTGTGCCCATCAGCAACATTCATATCTTCATATTGGCTGCATTCCCTGGACAGCTTATGCATTTCTCTGAACAGCCCTTCATCTCACAGCACTTGTATTTTCAAACATGTTACTTCAGCACATGAAAAGGAATTCTTAACACACGGGCTGACACTAATGGGGCATATTAACCACACACTAGAAGTAGTTATTATTAATCATATTGACTCCTAAAACAAAAGTAGCTACAAAAGTAGCT